CAAGAAATTCAGAGAAGACTGAGATTTGCAAGGGCAGCAGTGAAGGAACTGGAAAAGATAACCAAGTGTAAGGATGTTTCACTGGAGACCAAGACCAAGATCATTCACACCATTGTATTCCTGATCACTATGTGTGGGTGTGAAAGCTGAACAGTGAAGAAAGTGGACAGGAAGAAAATGGATGCATTTGAAACATGGTGCTGGAGGAGAGCTTTGCAAATACCCTGGAATGTCAGAAAGATAAGCAAGTGTGTCCTAGATCAAATCAAGCCAGAACTTTCTCTAGAAGCAAAAATGACAAAATTGAGGCTGTCATAATTAGGACACATCATGGGAAGGGAAGACTCGCTGGGGAAGATCATCATGCTAGGGAAGGTTGAAGGCAGAAGAAGAAAAGGAAGACCAAATTTGAGATGGATTGATTCTATAGAGGAAGCCACAGCCTTGAATCTAGAACAGCTAAACAGTGATGTCATAGATAGGACATTTTGGAGTGCTTTCATTCATAGAGTCACCATTAGCTGGAAGTGACTTGACGACATGTGACATCAAGAGCAACAGCGGCAGAAGATTCCAGTGGCTTTGAGCCACCAACCATATAAAGTGGTACCTTGGTTCATGAACTTAATCTGTTCCACAACTCTGGTCGCGAATCGAATTGGTCACGAACCAAGTCAAATTTGCCTATAAGGTTCAATGTAAATAAGGTTAATCCATTCTGTTTTTTTTTTTAATCACAAAAATTTGAAACAAAGTAACAAAGAACAACAAGTTAACAAAGTGCAGTACAGTAGAGAACACTAACCTAGGTCGGGGGAAGGTTACTGTTTGGAGGGAAAGTCCCCCTCCCAAAGGACATCGGGGAGATCTCCTTCAGGGGTTTCCTCTCTTCTTTGTCTCTTAGCTGCAGGGTCAATTCTGGCAAAAAATCTGTCTAATCTCTGTCTAAAATCTGTTCTTGTCACCTTCATTACCGTGCTGCATGTTCTAGTTACCTTCATCACCACTCTGCACGCTCTTTTTACCACTATGCTTGCTCTGCACTTTCTTTGGAGCCATTATTCAATATAATAATACTTTACAGTACTGTATGTGCTAAAAAGCACACAAAAAAGCTTCACAGCAAGTGACCACAGGTCTGTCTGCGACCACAAGCAGGGAAGATGGATGCAATTGCGATCATGTTCGTACAGGAATGTGGCCACGATCGTGGTCATCACCTGATGCAGAGTTCGCAAACAGAGGCAATTTTTTTCCAAAATGTGGTCATGAACTGAGGCGTTCGTGAACCAAGGAACCACTGTAGTGCTTTGTTCCACCTTCCATAATTTCTGGCATCTGCAATGAAGAACAGAACTGACAAGAAGCTTGAACTGGTCCAGGTAAGAAAAACATCAAAATGTTGGCTATTGTGTTGTCTAGATCCAACTGCAGTAAAAAGCCATGGCTTACTAACCATGAACAACCCATGAAGAGAACACATGGTTTGTTGCTGGGTTCTGAACTGTCAGATGCTTACCATGGTTTCTTATCTCAGCTGCGTTCAGACAACACAGTAACCTATGGTTTAATGACAACCCACAGAACCCTTGAGTATGCGTTATTGTGTTGTCTGAACTTTGAACCAAACAGTGAGAGCTAGAGTAGGGGTCACATCTGTTGTCTAGTTATGACCCTCAGTGGAGAACTGGGGAGTTCTAGGAAAATCAGCATTCTATTCACATAAAGGTGCTGTATGTACGTAAGTCCAATACACATATGAGGCCACTTCACAAAATGGCTGATCATGTGACTGGTAGGGCAGCATGTCTGTCTCTGACATGACTGTGTTGCCCCTACACATCAACTTGTAATGGGGTGGGGAATGAACAGCCCTACATTTACTAGGAAATGCCCTGCTGAACTGAGTAAAAATAAGCAGAATGGCTCCAATCCCACCAAAATGTACCTAGCTTTCTGTTGTCTGGTCCTGGTAATGGACTGGATGAAAGCCAATACACTTGTAACCAGGGGCATCTTAACAGCATTATGGGCCCCGGGCAAAGCAGTGTACTGGGGCCCTTATGACAACTATTCACAGGAATAAAAATGTAAAAATGAAGGGTTAACATACACAGATTAGTATGGGGCCCATGGGCAAGTGCCCATCCGGCCCATGTGTTAAGATGGCCCTGCTTGTAACCCAATCTAAAGAAGGCAGAGGCTCTACTGGCGGCTGGTTCCTCTATTCATATGGGGTAACTGTAGCTGGCTCATGTTCCACCATAAGAAGCAAGCGCTCCACTGGAAGTACTCCTGAGTTCTTCATATTCATCAGAAGCTCCTGTAGCTTCCATTGGGTACAGTGCCTTCTACCAGCTTTAAGCTGGTGATCCAGCTGTGTGACCTGATCTGGATGGCAGTAATCCACGTATCAGCAGTTTATGCTCTGGAAATCTCTAGGTTAGGTTACTGCAACAAGTTGTACGTTGAGTTGCCTTTGAAAGATGGTTCAAAAAGTGAAACTAGTGCAGAATTTGCAGCCAGGTTGTTAACTGAGACTGGGCAATGTGAACCAGTAAATACAATCCTGGCTTGCCTGCCCCATTGCTAGTTTCCTTTCAGGCCAAGCTCAAGGTGCTTCTTTTATCCTTACATAGCTCCAATACCACAAGGAACACCTTTTCTCAAATGCAGATACCCTATCCTTTGGACAGCTTCAAAGGCCCTTCTCTCTTGTGCCCCGTCCAAGAGATGCTCAGAAGCTGATGGCCTGGGGAATGAACCTTTTTGTGTGGTAGCCCCATGTATGCAACTTCCTAAGGAAGCTCTCTTTGCACCAACACAATCAACTTTTTGGTGCCAGTAAGACATACTTAGGCATTTGGACAAGACATTTGGACCAACCATTCTGTGCACAGACGGTGATGAATGTGAGTAGAGGGTTTTGTGTATTATGGATCAATCGTTTTGTAGTGCACCATTTAAAATCACATTGTATAGTGTTTATTTTTATTTCATTATTGTACTGATGGTTGTTTCATATGTATTATGGAATTCCATATTTGTGCATGTAAATCACTCCACAACTGCTTTTGCATTATGTATATTTATTACACAACCTTCCCACTGTAGAGGAAAGAGAATTCTGGACTAAACTATGACCTGTCCCATCTTGCTACTTGAATATAATATACAAATTGAGCAATAGTATATAATTGATTTCATGTTTCTAAATTTTCTTGAATTCAGAGAAGGGGCTACATAGCATCATGGCTCATATCTATGCCGAGGCATGAGGGGACGGCATATTAAAGTTTTAAATAAATAATAAATAAAATATCCATGGGGAGATAAAGAGAAGTATTCTGTATAAAGAAACTCTAGCCCTTACTCACTGAAAGCGCCAGCCTTCGAGTCTTCAATTACAGCCTTTTCATGCTGGAGGTATTAGACAGAAAATGTTCTGAAAATGTGCCGTGCAGGCAGAACTAAATAATTAGCCAATCATTTCAGGAATGCTCTGAAGAGGGCAACCAATTAGTAAAAGGGCATGCCTTCGCATCAAAGGATGTGATCATCAAGTGTCTGAGTAAGAAGAGCAGACTACAATTCTGTGCACCATACTGGCTCTCATATATTCAGTATCCCTTGACCATTTCTGTTCTATTCTTTACCCAATACTAGATTTCCTATTCTCTAAAATTAGAATTCTAGTTTGGCTCATTTCTGTGATACAAGTAGCAATGGTGTGAAGTGAACCATTTTTGTTGCATTTCCTTGTTATGCCTTTGGCTTCATGTTTTAAGGATGTCCAAGGACCGTCTATGTCCACAGTGTAAGTACAGGATGGAACAGGGTGCATTTAGCCTGGTTTACATCAACCCTTTGGCTGCCAACACTTTGAAAATAGCAACATGGTTGTGTAGGTACTGGACCAGAGATGGGGAAACCTTTTCAGACTGAGGCATGGAAACTGACCAGGGAAACTGGATACCAGAAGTGGGTTGGGCTAGTTAGGGCTAGAATCTCTCTCTCTCCCCCTCCCTCACACACCCTACACCTTGCACAGCCCCGTCTTCAACAGAACCATGTAGATCAGATGAAGGAGTTATTTCCCTTGCTTAGGAAGGAAGTATTTTACTTGATCAGGAGGACAGTATTTCTCAACACTGAGCCATGGAAACTCTTATTTCCAGTCTGGAGCTGATTGGAAGTAAGAGGTTTTTCCTTCCTTCTAGCTCAGGAAAGTGGTGGCCTGGAAGCTTGCCATGTCTGTTAGGCAAACAACAATATTGAAAAAGTGTAACTAGTACTCTTTTTCCTCTACTAAGTGCATTCAAGGTATGGTTCACAGTCTGAGATAGAAACTTCACTAATGCTTTACATTTCAACATAGAATTTTCATGCTGGCTACAGCTTGCAATTTTCAAAGAAAGGTCCAATTATCACATTTCCTTCTGATTTGCTAATGTCATCATAAGGGGATTTTATAATATCAATTTTACATAGTGAATTCTTTATTTGCATGCAGTTTTAGCAAAAGCTTTCATTTTCCACAAGTGCATACTCTAAATTTCAGGGCTTTGCCTTGCCAGGACAGTGAACAGTTTTAGCCCTCTGAGGATTCACAAAAACAATGTATTTAACATGTAAAGTGGACAAGAAAGTTCATCCTACGTTGACTTCACCATGTTAACAACATAATATGAAATAAGACTTACATGAAAGAAAGTTATTTAGGAATTGCAATTATTCACTCATGTCCACTAACAGGAATATGTTTTTGTTTGTTTGTTTTGCTCCATGTGCATTTAAAAAAAAAATCAATTTAGTAAACTTCAGCAAGTTTAATTCAGTTAAAATAGAAGAGCGATGTTCTTATGCGACAGTATATGTTGGATGTCTTATGCTACAGACATGCAGGAGAAAAGTCTGGATATATTTGATAGACTGACCCATCATAATTACTTTATGTAGCATACAGGTAATATGCATATATCAATTATGAAACCTTAGAGTAAAGAACAGCACAAACTAAAGTTTTATTTAGTCAAGAATTGGAAATAAGCAAAGGCACTTTGGAGAGATGATTTCAAGCAAAATTGTACAAGGCCAGCCTAAATATGTCATTTGAACAAATCCATTTGTCATTAACGTTCTTGAGAACAAACAACTGATGGAATCCCATCACTGGATCATCATCCACCTATATTAAAATAAGACAAATTCAGCTCCTGTGTTAAGTGTTCACCATATTAATACAATCTGTGTAATCATTTAAACATTCCAAGAAAAAAATCCAACCTAGGTGTATGCATTCTGATGCTTCATTGATTTCAACAGAAAGTAAAATCAGTGAAATTTTACAGTATTTAATTCTGATGGGATTGTACCCTATGCTACTTTTATACGGATGTGTTTGCAGCTACCATGCTATAAACTCAAACACTTTCCTTTTTACTTATTGGTTTATAATATTTTAATTAAAAAGTTATATCCAAATTCTTTAAAGCTCCTTTTATCTGAACCTTGTTTTTCTAGCTTTAAAGGATGTTCAGTTAATCGAAGGGCAGTATCCTGCACTACTTCAGCATTATTTCAGCAGAGTAAGGTGGTGCAACAATTTTCCCCATAAAACCCATTGTACCAATCATGCTGGAGAAGCAGGGCTAGAGGTCACCTGTGCTACTGCTATGTCAAGTGCAGGGGAAATACTAGGCACTGCCCAAAGAACTAAATGCAAACAGTTTCCCATCTCACCTTCAACTGACCAACCACCATACTAAGAATGCAGTTGTCAGGAGTTGGCTGATGATCTTGGGATGTTATGTTGTGCTGAATTTTTTGGAAAGGGAGTCTCTGTTAGCCAAGAGAAAAAAGAACATTAGATTATTACGTAGTAAATGTCATTCAAACATGTTAAACCAGTTGGACTACTAGTGCTTATATGCCATAAAAGGGCATACAGAGCAATCCTATGGCCCTCTAAGGTTTGGTTGTATCTACAGGTCATAAGAGTGACCTCAGTCAAGGGCTGATGATGGTGTTCTTGGGGGAAGATGCTTGGTCCACTAGGATATCCACTGTCAGTATCCTGGCAGTGCTCCACTCTCCTTCACTCCCTATTTGAAAGGAGCTAGGAGGCCAAAGCTTATTTGTAGGGCAAGAGGATGGAGAGGTGAAGATAGCTTCTATACTCCTCCCACCCTGCATAGCATGTCTGCAGTCTGACAGATTTGGAGGGCTTGGGGCTAGTACATGAATGAATGCTAGTACAACTAACAAAATTTCTTAACTGCTGATGCTAAGTGGTAACACACCATCAATTTTTCCATAATTGATGCTTTTCCTTGAAATTGCTGCCCTTCCCATGATAAACAGGAAGCATCTGTCTGCAAAAAAGATATAGGTTTCAGTAATCGATACGTTAAAAAGATAAAAAGAAAGCAGAGTATGCAAATGAATATTGCCAGGTCCAATCCCTGGCAAGATACCTTCAGTGAATTCTGTACCTTTCCAGTCAGACAAGCCTAATTGAAGCCCCTCTTCTATATCCGGCCGAAAGCTAACGTAGCTAATTCCCCACTCCTGTCAATACATGGATCTGCAGAGCTAAATCACGTGGCAAAACACCTCCCCTCATCATACACTCATCTTTTGCCTGGGCCATCGTAAGTCAACAGGTACTTCCTGCTCAATGATTCCTCCTGACCTTGTTCAACATTGTTAATAACTAGGAGAGGGTCTGGTACTTGAACCATGTATTTACTTTTGCTACTTTAGAAGAAATAACAAATACACCAACTCAGCTTCCCACAGCCTGGCATCTTTCAGCTCCCTCAATTCCTCTCCACTGATTATGCCAGCCTAGGCAATGAGAGTTGAAATCCCACATGGCAAAAGGCCATTCCAAGTCAATAACCCATCCGTTACACTAATAAGGAAACTATAGCTTAAACAAAGACATGTTGATACATACATAAAGGGCACCTAATTGTTCCCTACTGGTATCAAACTGTTGATAATACAGTTGTACAAAACTTGTTCCAATTTGCTCCCAAATAGGTCTTTCTGCCATTTTAGGCACCTGCAAAGAAAAAATAAAAGCATTTTTAATCAACAAAACAGAGTCATAACAGTGGAAAACTTAGACAACCAGAAACCTACCCACAATGAAACCAAGGTTAGTGTATAAAGGTACAATTTGGTGTGGGTGGTTAGAGCTCTGGACTGGATTCCTGGGAGATCTGAGTTCTAATTCCCAGTAAGCCGTGAAGCCCACTGGGTGACTTCGGGCCAGTCATGGTCTCTCAGCCTAACCTATTCACAGGGCTGTTGTTGAGCTAAATAAGCTGTTTTGGATTTCTCAAAAGGGGGATAAAAATGCAATGCAATAATAATATTAATCTTTGCATGCTGGGAGTTGTAGGCCTTTTTGCTATCTAAACTTCTATAGGATTGCACCTTTTGTGTACTATCATACTGCAACATATGCAGTTATGGTTATGCCAAATTTAATTATTTCCAGAGGGGCTGTCATGTTATTCTATTGGAGCAAAAAACCCCAAAAGGCTTAAAGACTAAAACACCTTAGGAATTAATAAACTCATTCTGGTATAACCTACATGGAATATTATGGAGCTTCACATTTATATACAAAACATATACTCCGTAGTGGAAGGAGAAGGGAAGACTTCACTTTTTACCATTTTTCCACCATCGTATGTGCTGTATATGCACTCAAAACTCTCCATAGAATGCCATGTAGCTGATGAAGGGTGTTATCATCCATGAAAGCCTATACCATAAGAACATTTGTTAGGCTTTCTGTTAGTTCTTTTACTGTTTAGGCTTAGTTGTTAGTTCTGTCACTACTGGAAGAACAGACAGGCTGTATGTACACAAGTATTAAGTCACATAACTCAAATTTGAAAGTGAATAAATTCCTTATCTTTCCATTGCTTTAAGGCAATGGATCATTTAAGGCAAAATGCAGAACATGGATGACCAACCACAAATCCAGCAAAAAACCAAGGCTGTTTCTCCCCCTCCACATCTGGCCCATCTGTGCATATTACCCACTGGTTCATCTGTGTTTCCCAGTATACTTCATGCGTACATTTAGCTTCATGACAACCCTGGGAACTATGTGGGAAATCAGAAATGGTGCAAGTTTATGAGCAGGCATGGACTGCCTATGCAGAGTAGGGATACACATTTATTTATACTTAGGAGTAAGTTCCACTGAACTCAGTAGAGCTTTCTTCCAGTACAGATAGTGCTGCATAGATTGTGCTGTCAAATTGTCTCTGGAAGGTCAGCTGAGATGCTTTTTAGAGGAGGTGTTTGAGGTTTGTCTTTCCTCCATCAGCCTACTGATAGAGCATTAAGCAATTAACACAGGTATGTGTGCTTCAGGTATGTTTGGGTGACTCCTGTGGAAGGCATGTCAGAGTCCATCTAGTCCAGCCCCTGCTCAAAGCAGAAAATCCAGAGCTAACCTTTCTAGAAGAGGGGCAGTCCACGGTTTGCTTGAAAACTTCAAAAAAGAAAAACCTACTTTCCACTGGCAAATTGATCTTACTGCCAAGAGGTTTGTCCTCATGTTCAATCAAAATCTGCCTTCATGTAGCTTAAGACGTAGGAACTATGCCAAGCCACTCTGGCAGCCAGGAACAAGTCTTTGCCTTCTTCTATTCAACAGCCCCTCAGGAATCTGAAGAGTGCTATAAAGTGCCTTCAGTATTTATTTACTCAGGATTTATTTACCCCCAATATTTATTCATCCAATAGTATTTACAGAACTAATATCTGAATTTCCTACACATTCTATACTCTGGCCACTAAAAGTATCACTAAAATTACAGTATTTGACATTATAGAACATTGAAAAATATGGTATCTAAATGCAAATGCCATGGGTTAGTGAAAGGTGATGGAGAAAAACATGTATTAATAACAACATACATGCAGCTTGACTCAGTGCATTGTTTACTAGAAAGCAAAGGCCATTGTGTTTAATGGGGCATACTCCCAAGTATGAATGCACAGGATTATTTACTTGGAACTAAGTACAGGAGTTTCATTTTCAGATGTACACAGGATCACAATGTAAAGCTATATCCCTATGCATACTTACATGAAAATAAACTACTTAAACTCTGCTTTAAAACTCTGCTTAATAAACATGCAAAGAATCACAGAGGGAGGTTGCAGGTCCTGCCCCCATAGCTGACAATCTTATTGAATTTAACAGGGTTTAATTCTCCAATATGCATAAGATGGGGCTGTGTAAGACTACAGTCCAGTGCGCAATTCTTTGGCAGTAAGTCCCCTGGACGGACCTGGGTTTAGGGATCTAAGTGACTATTTCCAAACTAAGATCTGTCTGCACAAACTATAATGAGATCTAACAGGATGATTCTTTTAGCTTGCTCACCCCGCCACGTGCTTCCTGCGCAAACATGCGCTTTACCCTTAAGCCTGAAAAAGCACCGTGGCTCATTTTCATTTCAGGGTTGTCAGTGGCAACTAACTGTGTCTCCGCGATGTCTCACGAAGTACTTTGCAAAAAGCAACCACCTCGAGGAACCGTCTCTCCGCTTGCCGGCAGATTCATTGCATTCTCTCCCTTCATCACCACCCCATTTGGCAAAGTCCACGTGCTGCGTCCCCTACTATCTTACTGGAAAGCATGGGGGAGGGGGGGCGAGATGTGCTGCTTCTTCGGAATAAAAGCAGCACCAAGCAACCCCATCTCGCAGTTAAAAGAAGCAAAACTAAAAAAAAAAAAAAAAGAAAGAAAGAAAGGTCGCATCGCGGGAGTAGATCACCTTCCGAAAAAGAAAAAAAAATCATGCAGGTCGTTCCCTTCAGAACCTACAGCTCCTTATTTTAACACTCCCCTACGTGGTGCATTCAACTTGTGTTGGAGTACAACTCCCCCCTCCCCGCCCCCATCCTCCGGAGCGTCTAACCCATCTGGAGGGACCCCAGGCTGGGAGGCTGTTTTTAAGCAGATTCAAGCCGATCCCGCGCAGGCACAAGCAGGCAGGCCCGGGTCTTTCAAACAGAAAGGCCTGATTTTTGCTCGGAAATTTAATCGACCGGCCGCGCTCGACTCACCACCAACACGCAACTCGCTCGAACGTTGTAGTCGCCGCCTGGCTACGCCTGCCTCCTCCCCGTTCGATTCCGGACTGCATAAAGGGCGGTCGGAGCCCTTGTGGGGAAAGTAAAAAAGGCGGCTGGCGAACGGGAACCGTTTTACTCAGATTTCGGGGGAACGAATCAGCCCCTGGAAACACAGAAGCAACGTGCAGTGTACTGTGATGTGCATCTCCAAAACTTAATCATAGAATTTTAGAAAAATAGAAACTTGATCACAGAATTTGATCCAAAGCCGCATGCAGGGTCTTGTGGATTACTGCACCCGCCCCCTTTCCCCTGCATTCATGGCTGCATGGAATCACAAAGCAGATGTGGGGACAGGCAACTGGCAAAAAGTTATTTGAGAATGTGGTCCCCCATAACTTCCGTGACAAACTTTTTCACCTCCCGCCCCCAAGTGCTTAATAGCGTCTTTCTGTCCAGCATACACGTGGGTCAAGAATATGAACTCCACATTTCGCAAGCGGCGCCGCAGTAAAGTTGTTTTACGTCACGCCGTTTTCAGCCAATGGTAGCCTGAACTGCACAAATTCAATGAATTTCGAATACGTGTCTAGCCTTTTATGTTCGCTTCTCAAATAGGTATTACACAAAATAGGTATCTGATGTCATCTTGTTTCTTTACCTGCTAGTGGCAATGAACTTAATGAGGTCCAGCTTTCTTCTGAGTAAACCTACAGAATAGCCGTTAATAGATCTAAAAAAATAATTTCGTTGTGAGGAAATTAAAACTGACAAGTAAAAAACAAAGTAGTTCTAGTATACGTCCATGAAGTTCAATGGCAAGTAATTGGTCATTTACTTTGCTAGCATACGTCATGGAACTGATATTGGGTCATTGTATTCCAAACTATTGGTGAAAAAGAACCATACCTCAACTCCCATTATTCTGCTGCTTGCCATACGATCATTGGTAGCTTGACTGTACCAAGAGTCCAAATATCTTTTCCTGTCCGTTGCAGCATCAGGGATAATGAAACTAACTGGAGACTCAGAATTTAGTGAGATGAGCAGGAAATCGGTGGATGGGTCTTTCTCATTTAACTACAGCTGACTGAGAGTTGAGTGTACCTAAATTCTTTGCCTGTAATCTTATGTCTGTGTTTCTTTCTTAATGAAACATGGTGGTAGAAGTGAGATTTATGTTAATAAAGCAGTTAAGGTCTGACCAGGCCAAATATACAACAGACTTTGCTGGCCTTCTCATCATTTTATGGCTTTCTTGCTAATAATACGGTGGCTCTTAGCAAAATTAATGAGGCCTATAACCTTAGAGGACCAATTGCTGCAGCGGATCCCACTGTGCTTGCTGAACAGTGGCAAACAGTTCTCTGGGGCAAATAGTAAAAAAGTCCCATTGTATCTATATTGGCTAATTTATCGACTTAACTATCAAGTATCTAGAGTGGCATATGGACTTCGAACAACTCAGAATAAGAGCAAGAAGTTCTACTCCATTCTGAACTGAACTCTTATCTTTCAAGTGGCTATCCACCCATAGTTGTCTCTGCCAAAAATTAATGTACGGAATGGACCACCTACATAGATGGAGCCTAATCTAGTGTGCCTAAAGGCCTGTGGATTGCAGCATGAATCCAAAACTTCTATTAAAGTCTAGTACAATTATTATTACAACATCAATAACATCTGTTGTGAATGTACTTTGGTTTAATCACAACTCTGTAATGATACCAAGTTTATATGCCAAGTTCTAACCAAATTTCAGCTGCTAAGAAACATTCCTGCTGGTTGACCAATAAATTAACCACACTGTTAAGGAGAAACATTGTTATTAAATAATAAAAAACCATTTCTGAAACAGATGTTTAGCAATGCTGGAAATCTAAGGATATCCCACTGTAAACTGCATGAGCCTATGCAAGTCTACTCAGAAGTAAATCCCACTGACTTCTATGCATGCTTAACTTTCAGGTAAGCATGCATAGAATTACAAGCCAAGGATTGAAGTCAGGAAATTCATTTAAAGGTTTTTTGTAATTATTATAGTACAGTGCATCTACTTTTCCAGCTTTATTGGGAATTACTGTTTCCACAAGCAGCAAGATTTGGAATTCTCCATGGTTCAATTAAAGCAAAGTAGTGGCTATTTTACCATCATATCATTCTAGAGATGTAGACCTGTTTTGATGACACACTCCATGTAAATATGTATTTACAACTGATTTTTGCAATGCCTGAGCCCAGCCCACTTCAACCAGGGTGACTTTTTTTTTCCAAACAAGCCACCCTGAAAACCTATGGGCTGTTCTAGAGTTTGCTTTACCCAGGGTGGGTTGTTCTGTGGTCTGAACTTGGATGACTTACCTCACCACTTTGGTGATCCTGTTTGTGCTGCCACCAGATACAGCCCCTTCTGACTTACCAAGAGTCACACTGGAAGGGCTGTCATTTGTTGGCCTCCCTTTAAAGTAACAATGCATCCCAAATATTCTTACCTTTTCAGTTTTTTTTTTTTAAAGTGACTATTTGTAGTTGGAAGTGACTATTTACATTGACCTGAAAAAGTGAAGTATTGCCCGGTCCTGCAGGAGGCCTGGTGTCAAAATGCAAGAAATAACCAGCCTTGGACGTTGACACTGAGTCCCAATGCATTCTCCTCCCTTTGCTTTCCCAACAATTGTCAAAAGGCCAGTTCTGTCTAAAGAACTTTGCTCACAAAAAGGTGGTGGACGGTATATCCCATTCATGCTAAGAACCTCTTATTTTATTTTGCCACTCCTTGAGTACATTTTGCCCCTTTTTCTGAGACCCTAGCTACTTTGGAAAATGTGAAGTCCACTTCACGCTCTCTTTTGGGAAGCTGGGTTCTTTTGTGTGTGTTTTATTCAGAAAATACAGTCCTGTCTCCGAAAATAAACAACAAATATGGCATAGCAGATCATCCATCCATATATAGTCAACTCAACATCCTACATGTATTTCACACTTTGGCCCTTTTAAAGCTGATTACATTTGGCACAATCCTATAATACCCAATGTTTGGTAGAACCCTTTCAAGTAGCAAAGCTAGCCTCACTTTTTTTGCACTTTTGTGACAGCACAGCCATATGGTTGGGATATCTGAAGCTATAAGCCAAGGGTGGGCAATCCGCAGCTCACAGGTTGCATGTAGCCCCTGCCAAAATTCATGGTGGCAGCAATTAGCTAAAAAAAGACAAATTTAGCTTGAAATAACTGTTTTTGTCCCTGCCTCTGCTAAGAATGAGAATACAGTGGTTGGGATATGCAGATCAGTGTAATTCAAGTCCACCAAATTCCATCTTGAACGTCATCCCATATCAAACTGCAAGCTTTTCTTCCGTTCTTATGAAATTCTGTGCACATCTTTGAAATGTATTATGCATTCTTCTTCCATTGATTAAATATATTTGTGCATATTTTTCAGAAGTACACATTTTTCTGCACTTAATATATGCATGCTGTAAAACACCTTTTTGGAAAAGTTTGTGAAGCACTTGGCAGGCTGAGGAATGTGTGAGATTGCATCCATGTTTACTTTAAAAACAGGTGAACTGGGAAATCCTCATCAAAACTGAGTTGAAGCACATTTTTTACACATGCCTAGCAGCAGTGGCAAGACTGCAGCCAGTGGAGGACTGAAGTTGCCCATTCCCACTACAGACATAATAAAATTCTGATCTGATGGAAGTCCCCTTTAAACAATTCCAACTTTCTTGGAGATAAAGGCAAAGACAACAAGAATTCATGAAGCATCATTAATCCACACAAATGTTCCATGAAGTTTGCCCTTGGGTAACAAATCATACCTGGCTATCCCCAGCAAGAATTACTGCCTATGTAAGGCAATTCTAGCTGAACTGTCCAAATTTGCTTCACTCTACTCCTCCTCACTGTGATCATGTGTATCACTTGCAAGGGAACAGAGTTTCTTAAAATACCATGCTCATGTGCTCTTCAACCCACCCAATTTTTGAACTCCTTCGGTTACATTGTGCAGTGGCCTCAGCAGCAACATCCATGGCTGTGGCCACTCCTCTTTTAGGAGTGTCTTGAACCAGTATTTTTATACTGTCCTGCTTGTACAGAACAATACAGAGTTGTGTTTCGGCTTAGATACCTTTGTGTTCCAGAAAGTACAGCTCTTTGTCCTCAAAAACAAAGTCTTATGTTATGCCCAGATCATTATTTATATCACCATCATTTGTTCTGGTAAATGTAACAGCTACTGCATTCCAGAAATTGAAGGAAAGAAATATGTGTTAATAAAGCTCCAGGGTAATCATCCAATTGCTCTTCTCATCTAACAATTAAAAAAGAATAGCTACAGTAAGCATATAAAATTGTTTTAGATGCTATATTCCTTTTTCTCTAAATATTACTATAGGAAAAGAAGTATGCCACAGGTTCCCTGTCCTTTCACTTTTGGATTTCTTCCTTTCTTTCCTTGTCTGCATAATCACAATTTTGCCATGATGTCCAAACACAAACTGAACTACCTTGAAACCATGCTCTGAAGTAGGTTTGCAGAATATTCCTGTTTAGTGGTAATCCTACGTTCCCTGGTTTGGATATCACAACAAGCCATGATTTTGGAATCAGGAAAGGGAGAAAGGAATCTACATACAAAAGGGAGCTGTAGAGAGTAGCCCAAATCTCTGCAAGTTAGCCCATTGTTTGCTGGACTGGAAAAGTAATATCCGAATCACAGTTCTGGAAGTTTACTTAAGCTTTGTGGTTTCGTTCTCTACATCACTTTCATCTTCCTCTGCATCATATTCTAGTTCATTTTCCTGTGACGATGCAACTTCATCATCCCAATAGTTTCCATGGGAGTTGTCCATTAGATATTTTGAAGGTGAAATATCATGAGAGGGTTTTTTGGACTTCTTCCACTTCAATTTCTTTTGCCTTTGCACCTCAGCCAACTGTTGCTGCTGTTGCTCTGAGAGTTCAATCCCTTCTATTTTCTTGACCTTTATCTTGTTTTTATATTCATAGATTTGCTTATTTAATGCTTCATGATCAATGCCAAACAGATTAGTGTGAATGTTGGAACCTGAGTCTGGAAGTGTGTCAGTCACAGTAGATCTTTGTTCACTGCAACAAAGGGAGGAAATAAACAAAATATATAGCCCTGACATATGGGATCGTTTCACTCTGATTTTGCCTGTTCCCCCCTCCCACTGCCACCCATGGCATTCAAGAGGACCTCCCGCTACTCAACCAAGAGGTTTTTTTTGAGACACAGAGGGGACTGGGTTGTGGAAGAAGGGGCGGGGGGAACAACATTGTATCAGCAACCCTTCACTTGCCTAACTCTGGATGTAACCCAATATAGTCTGAAAACATACTTTAAAATCTAACTTTACTAATAAAATACACTTTTTACTTGCTTAATGTTATGCTTGTTTTATAGCCTACCTGAAATCATTTTCAAGCAATTCTTCTTTTTCCTCTTCAGGCCCAAAATCAGCAATTGCCAATAGCTTTTCAATCTAGGATTTAAAATATATATGTTTAAAGTGTTTAGGGGAAAAAATCTGTTCACATTCAGAGTATAATAGGTTCTGAGGGCAGTATCCAATGTGACACTACCACTAATGGAAATAATATACTAAATAGCACCTAGCATAACACCAATAGAAGTTGATGACAGAATTCATCAGGCCAGCAGGTATTGTTGACTTTGTACTGGAGGTCGTTACATTAGTACAAGGTAATTTATATTAGTGGTAGTGTCATAATAGATATCAGCATTGTCTCAGCTCCTCTGTGTGTGCACTGTCTTCAAGCATATCTTGTGCAATGATAAATATTGCTCCCTAGCAAGCGTCCATTCTATATATTCTGAAAATAGTTTGTGCCGCAGAAAGGTGGGTTTTTTGGCTTCCCACAATACCATATTCTATTGATAAATCAGGTATCCTGATGCTTCTTATAAAAAGCATTAAAAAAGAATTAAGATTCTTTGTTTGTAGGGCCAGGACTTCTGAGAAATATAAATAATGTTGCAAACCTCCACACACTTACCTTAGGAGAAATTGCTACAGAGCTCAGCTGGACTTACTTCTAAGTAGATACATATAGAATTGCACTATGAGGTTCTTTAAAGGTGCCTTTATGGATATGCTTTTTGTAGGTCTACCAATTTCTTTCTCTTTTGAGAAAGCAGAAGAATATATTGACATTTTATTGTGGTCATTCTAATATTTATGCTACTCAGGAGGCATCTGTATGTTAGCATACAAGCCAAATGTGCTTCAGTCTTCCCTGCCATGATACAAGAATAAACTCTTAGCTTTTTCTTTGAATTTTGGCCAGAATCAATTCTATGACATGACAGAAAAGCAATTCTATGCACAAGCATGTCTCAATGCCTTTTTAGTTTGCAAGACTGCTGGTACATATAATACTTTTTATAATTGTTTGTATTTGTATGTAAGCAGCTTAAGGGACTGCGGGTGGCGCAGTGGTTTAAACCGCTGTGCTGGTTGATCGAAAGGTTGCGGTTTCGAATCTACACAACAGAGCGAGTTCCCGTTGCTCCGTCCCAACTCCTGCCAACCTTGCAGTTAGAAAGCATGCAAATGCAAGTAGATAAAAAGGTACCACTTCGGTGGGCAGGTAACAGCGTTCCATGCACTTCGGTGTTTAGTCATGCTGGCCACATGACCACGGAGACTGCAGACAAACGTCAGTTCCCACGGCTAGGAAACGGAGATGAGCACCGCCCCCTAGAGTCAGGCATGACTGGACTTAATGTCAAGGGGAAACCTTTACCTTTACCTTTTTAAGCAGCTTAAAGAGCTTTTCTGGCTGAGGAGGGGGATAAAATGCTTTAAGTACATAAATAAGGAAGTAAGGTGAAATTGAAAATATGAGCCTAACACTGCAGACAGAGCTCTGAAACTTTCTCTGTGTATTTCATGCAAAGCCTAACTAGTGAGTTATATAAAATTATTATTTCTTTCAACAGGTTTTTATGAAAGCATCCGAAAATGGCTTTCCTAGGCTTTTACTGTTGTTTGCTTGCTTGTGGCAATGGGATGGAAAAGGAGTTGCAGCAGTTTCCAAAACCGATGGTAAATTACTTCTTTCATAAATAATATTTAGGTACTTCCTTCCTACCTCTCTTACAGCAGCATCTGCTTTGTCTCTAAGAAACAGTATTGGAGGAACAACTCTCAGGACCTGATGAGAAATCAGAATGTGCCTGTAATGAAAGAAATAAATAAATGGAACATAATTCAATTAAAATTTTCGCTAAATATTTTCAAAATGCCATCAAGAAATAAGTGTAAAGGGGAAATGGAAGCTCCCCAAACTCCCTGCAAGGTAGGCTGGGGCAACGAACAGTCAGTAGGTTTGCACTGCCTCTTTTGAATCCACCTCTGTTCGAGTCAGGGATTCTCGCAGGTACACTTGGAGCTACTAAAATAAGAATTCATGCTGACACTCTCTATTTTAAGTCCCAAGACTGAAAACATTAAACCAAAACCAATACTGACATTTACCTAGAAGGAAGCACACAAGATCCTAGAGGCTCCAAGCCCCATCCCTGGAGAACCTCCTCAAAGGATATCCCTCCACCACCAAGTTCTGTCTCAAATTGGAGATAACAGCGGAGATTCCTTTCCTGGTAAGTGCCAGCAATGAACCCCGCACTGGTATCTCCAACTGGAGTTCAAAGGAGGCAGCAGGTGGTGGGGGGGCTGTTCTTCCCTACATGGATGAATTCTGCCACTCCTTACCCACCTGCTGTTTCCAATACTGGTTCAGAGAGTCCCCAGGTCTCTCCATGCTTGCAGAAGGCAGTTCCATGCCTCCCTCCAGCCGTGCGGTGTCCTATTCCAGCCTGCAGTTGGCCTGGAGGGGGACGATTTGGCCGCACCACAGTGTTGTACCCCTACAGAAAGTGAGGTTAGTCCACTGCTTGATACAGCATGGTAGTACCTTATTCGTTTGGTGCTCTTCTGCAGAACCTTTTCAGCATAGTCATCCCGTTCCAAACTGCCAGTAGACTTCCAATAGATACGGCATACTGAAAAATCTGATGTGAGGGACACCTAAGAAATACAAAATATGTGCTGTAGATCTACATTTGTAGATGATGGGATTTCAAAAGTTTGGAAGGAAGCAGTGCAAATAATCTTATGACAAATAATGGTAAGTAAAGAGAATTTCTCTTACCTAAACAGAGCAACTAAGGGCACAATCCTATTCATGCAAAAAGTCCTAAAACTCCTAACTGTTCCCAGACAGACTTTGTATAACATGTAGCATTGTGTCCTATATCACCAATGTAATTAACGCGGAGGATAGGGGGAGAAGAAAAACAATTCTATTTTGCAAACAGAGAGGTTTAATACTGAGGCAGGAAAAAGGGTTTACATTAAAGAAGCAATACTAGTACAGGAACATGTGATGAAGCTGTGAATTATACACTGACTGGAGTCACATGACATGGCAACCACCATAGGCAGGCAGCCAGCCAGCCATGGAGGGTTACTGTGTTGTCCAAACCCAGAGTGTTTCCATGGAGTGGCTTATTTTGCAGGAACAAGCCACACTGAGAACCCATGGCTTGTTGTAGGGTTCTTCTTAGCCATAATGGGTTGGCCTGTACACATTTCTCCTCCATTTATTTTCTGGCATTAAATCTGAATATACTTTTAATCCATCAGGAACCTGCACTAACTACAGCAGTAAGTGCTCTGAAATGAAGCTACACAAAGGTGGGTGGTGGGGAGTAGCTGGGGAGGAAAGGAACTGTGGAAAAGGTAGGGGACACTGAAAAGCGACAGTTCAATACTTAAAAGGAAAAGATCAAATCACTGCAGTTGTGCCTCCTCCGCACTTTTGGTGCACCTACTCCCTTGGCTCCCACCTCCTCATTCTGGACTTCTGACTTGTGCTACATCGTCCTGCATTTCTTTAACTGTTATTTCTCCACCTGGCCTTTCCAACTGTGCAAATTAGCCTAGATATCTTGACAGTTTCTTACCCACTCCTCTCCCTGTTCCATTTGCCAGACTGCAGAGACAGACAAGGGACTTGACCATGAAAGCCTGCATCTATCAGACAGCTGTAAGTACTGACTTGCCAAAAGTAGAGAATGAAGAAGGAGAGCAGCTGGAGCGACTGCAACTGCATATTGCTGCACTTTTTTTCAGATAGGGAATGAAAAGGAGTAGGGACTGGAGAGCAGAGGAGGAGATCCCATGGGTTTAGCTGCAGTTATCCCTAGGGATGGCTAGAGATGCTAGAGATGGCTGGAGGACAGAGGAGGGGAGATCAAGCCACAGGAAGCCTGATTGTCTAAGAGGTGTAATGGCTTATTTGTGGGGTGGCTTAGCATAACATGTGAACCCACCTATTAAGACTCAAGCCTGGGTTTCACTGTAATTTAAGAGAGTACTCATGTGCAGATGAAATCTAGAGAATCATAAGGCTGCCTTGGTTCTACTGAAATCTGTAAAAATGAAACTTTTAAACTGTGTATGTACGAATCCTTAATTTCAGTGCAATTAGGTGCTGATAAGATGCTTTGCTATATTCAGAAATAAGTTGGCAATGTTAACTTATTTCTGAACTAGATTCCTTCCCATTAACAGGATTTGCACAGCTCTTAGGCTGTAGTGGCTTTGGAGTCTAGAACCCCAAGGCTGCTGCTGACCCACCCAATAGAATGCTCTGTTTTGGGTCTCTGCCACAAACACCAGTGGCAGTAAATCTATGGCAGGGACTCCTCCGGGAGTGGTACAGTGCTGCTTCACTGGCTGAATGGCACTTTTACAACATCCCACAGCCCATGAGACACAAGCTGAAGCACTGTGGAATTTCAAACTAAGAGTTTTACACCACCAACAACCCTGCCATTTTTAGCAAGCTATAGCAAGCCTTTTCTATACCACCAGAAGTCAAATTTCAGTTCATCCAGAAGAAGCCACAACATACATGCAAGACCACATTTCAGAGGCCAAAGCTCAGCTTGTATAACATTCCTTTGACAAAGAGGCAGAGTGCAAAACCTTCCACAGGAAATGTTCAGTGAAGGAACATTTTCCTATAAATGTTCTAAGATTATTTTTTCACCTCTGGGAAAATATTTGCATTTTTAGAAATGCATTACAGCAGGACCTCCATATCCGCTGGTTCAGTTACTCCATTTTCACTTAACCACAGCTGACCTTGGTCCAAAGCAGAAGAGAAGTTGTAAAGTGCTTCCTTAAGTGAAAACTCTCAATTTAATAAGGAAAGAAAAAAAATCATATACTGGGGATGCTAGGTTACATGGTAAGAATGAATTTCCTATTTTTGAAATTGTGGAAAAAATAAGTGTATATGTACAGTATATAGTGTTTACTATTATCTGTGGTTTCAAGCATCTGCTAAGAAACTATCCCTATAGATACAAGGATCATGCTGCAATTAAATAGATATAACAATACCAGTGAAATCTAAAATCAAAGTTGTTATCAAGGCTTATTTCACGTTACTTTTCAAAGAAGCCCATATTAATATGTGCTGTTCTTCAAGCATGCCAAAATCTGTATATTCATTGTTTCTATGCCTTATTTTTTTCTTAGATTCTAAAGAAGGTAAGGAAAAGACATGCTATTGTGCTCTCATGTTTTGAAGTATTTACATATATATTCCAATAAAATTATGTCTGAATAAAGCTTTAAATTTGCTTGAATCTAACATTTAAATTACCCTACAGTTTTTTATTGATTTTTCTCTGACCTGATTGAACTAACGTTCAACTACTTTTGTAAAACTTTTGGAGATTTCTACCATGCGTCACAGTAACATGTTAACTAAATGGAGAAGTCAAACAGTCCATTGATTTAGGACAGTAAGGCTTTCCTTGAAAGTTTTCCAGAAAAAAATCTGGATTTCTGTCTTATTGAGTGTTTCCCAAAAACTCACAGCATTCTCCCCTAGTAGCTCAGAATAGAAAACTGAAGTTCATTGATCAAGTGCAAATTTAAGAGACTCAGATAGGCTAGTGAGTTCACACCTACCTTATCTGACTTGGCAAGATACATATTCCCCAGTCCAAAAATGCTCTCATGGGGTTCAAATTGTATATAACTCCCAGTATTCCTCAACCAGATTTTTTTTTTCTAACTGCATAGGACTGTACCCTAAACTATGATTTCTGTGTATCCTTTAGAACCCATTTCCCACTTCAGCTCCCTTAGCTTTTGAGGGATTGGTGAAAAGTATTTTAATAATGGGTTTAAGAACAATATAAATCTAGAACTTTGAATCACTGCAGAACACTACAGTGCAATCTGTAGGCTGCTTTTCAGAATTCTGGTAAATTTCTGTCTCACAACTTAACAGTGCAAGCTGCATGTGTCTGCTCAGAACTGAGTGCCATCAGATTCAATGGGAGTTGCTTCTAGGTAAACAAGTACAGAATTATAGCCTAAAGCCACAATCCTATGCATTTTTAAACTTAAATAGTCCTACAACTCTACCAGCCACCATGCTGGCTGAGGCATGCTGGGAGTTGTTGGTCTTTTAAATGTCTAAACGCGCACTGAGTCGCAACCTGGCTTTGTTGTATTGATACCTTTTGTACTTGCCTTAGACAGCTCCAACCTCAGGTCATAAACTTCTTGGCCAGCATCACAGGTATCCAGCACACCCCTCACAGCTTTAAACAACAGAACTTCCAGGGTCTTTTTCCGTATGCTGTCTTCCCTCTTCAGTTTTGGTGGAGCAAGCTTTAATGCACTTGCAAAGCTGGGGGGCTTGTATATCTTTAAAACAAAGGTTGCAAAGGGAAAATAGTTCATTGTTCACAGGCTACAGCCAACTTCATAAAAAGATATCATATATTTTAGGACTCAATCCCCCATCCCCCGCTTTTCTTTTCACAGTCCTTGGTCTCCCATGCTTTTAATAGCAGCACATAATATTAAGATTATAGACATTTCCTAGGATGAAGACAAATGGTAAGAGAAGTTTCAGAACAGAGCTCCACAAATATCAGCAGCTTCCCAAATTTTACACATTTTTTTACTCTGGGTTGTTCATGGTTAATAACCCAAAGTCAAATATAGTGTAGGGTTTGCACGTAAGAACCCATGCTTCAAAAACAGCCCATACTCAGTCTATACTCAACCCATATGCTGAGAATCAACTGAATGAAATGGTTGATTTAAAGAAAATGCTACTGTATATGTTTTATATACAACGTACTTTAAAGCCTTGTTTGTGCATTTTTAAACTCGAAGGATGCATACTATAGTGTAGGGATGGACATTTTTGTATCAAAATATTGATTAGGCAATGAGTTAGAGCCACACATACATTTTCATATTCTCTCACACACTTACTTCTACCATCTCAGTATTTAAAGACACAAAGGCTGAACCCTCCCTTCCCTACCTGCAAAGGGTTTAATATGTGCCTGACCCTCACCAGGGGAAAACATGTAAATTGAATGGAAAAGAGGACATACCTCTGAGATATTGCGGGTTTGGTTCCAGACCACCACAATAAAGTGACTATCACAATACAGCGAATCACATGAATTTTTTGATTTCCCAGTGCATATAAAAGTTATGATTACACTACACTGTAGTCGATTAAAGTGTTCAACAGCATGACTAAAAAATAACACACATTCCTTAATTTAAAATATTTTATCACTAAAAAATGCTAACCATCATCTGAGCCTTCAGTGAGTCATTATCTTTTTGTTGCTGGATGGTCTTGCCTCAATATTGATGGCTGCTGACTGATCAGGGTGCTGGTTGCTGAAGACTGGGGTGGCTGTGGCAATTTCTTAAAATAAGACGACAATGAAGTCTGCCACATCACTTACTCTTCCTTTCACCAAAGATTTCTCAGTAGCATGCAATGCAGCTTAATAGCATTTTACCCACAGTAGAACTTCTTTCAGTACTGGAGTCAATTCTCTCACCCTGTTGCTGCTTTATTAACTAAGTTTATCTAATATTCTACAACCTTTCTTGTCATTTCAAAAATTGTCATAGCACTTTCACTAGGAGTAGACTCCATTTCAAGAAACCACTTTCTTTGCTCATCCATAAGAAACAACTCCTCATAATATACAATAGCTTATTGTTTTTATTGTGCTTTATTGTCTTTTTATCTTGTGTTGTGAGCCACCCAGAGGTGCTGTGGCACAATTAGGCAGCATAAAAATGTTTTAAATAAATAAATCTGTTACAGTTCTATCATGAGATTGCAGCTGTATTATGGATGTGGCTCGTGAAGGCCCAGCACAATTACAATAGCAACATCACAGACAAAAATAATAATCCTAACAAAAATAATAATGAAAAAGTTTTAAAATAGTGCAAGAATTACCAAAATGTAACACAGAAACCTGGAGTGAGCAATTGTTGGAAAAATGGCACTGTGAAGTCTTGTTTCATGCAGTGTTGCCACAAACCTTTAACTTGTAAGAAATGCAGTATCTGTAAAGCACAATAAAATGAGGTATGCCTCTAAATGGGGATAACTGTCTTTGCACTGTCTTTTCTATTTAAACTGCACTCTCAACAGGCTGTAAACAGCCATCTGGCAGGTTGTCAGGGACCTAATTGTGCTAGGGAAGGCCACACTTGAGAAGATATCCCCAATGTCTTCCTTTCTTCTCAGTACAACAGCATTAACAGTGGCAGTGTGAACACGCAAGACATTAATGGAGAGAGGTCTGTGGCAGGGCATAAAGAAGGCCTTTGCGGACCATGTGAAGCTTGCAGGTGGTCCGTGTGTGCTCCGGGGGAGTGCATCTAGAAAAGGGAACTTCATGCTGCTTCAAAGATCTGCAAGAGCTCACTGACAGAACAAGAGGTAAGAGTCTTTCTGTTCTTACCAGGTTAGAGCCCAGAGTAGGACTATCATACCAAAACTTCTTCCTTTTGAAAAAGAGAGATATATTAGTACTATGCACTCAATGGTTGCACTAATGCACCAACAGTTTGAAAGTGTGTCCTTTTGCTCCAATCAGGGACTGCATATTGAAAACGGCAAGTGCCTAGAGAGAAGTCCAGGCCAGGAAGGGCCAAATCCAAAAGGCAAGATTAGGTATGTTCCGGTAAGCCAAGTTATGCTGGTCACCAGGCTGTGCGCAAGCACGCCTCTCCAGCAGCCTCCCACAATCTGGTACCTCCCGGACGTGCAGGACTGCAACTTCCAGCACATCTCAACCAACCATCGGAGGTCTAGTACAATATAACTGGAGGGCACCAGGTTGGGGAAGGCTTCTCCCTGGACCTCTTCGACCCACTAAGTTTGCCGCACAAAAGTGCTGTATACACGGTTGTTAGCCCCATGGAGAAAACGAAGGGCGTCCTAGTTAGTTTCTCCGCCCTCCAAGCCTGTAGTTCTGGGGGAGGGCAAAACCGGGGGGGGGGGCAGTTCTCTTTGCAGGTCTTTTGAAAACAACATTGTAAACCGCTTTTTAATTGTTTACAAAAGGTTTTTTTTTAAGTATTGGAGGAAACAAAGAATCGAGAAGGCCAGCTCGCCCTCCCCGCAGTGACAGGCCCCCCGCCGCCTCCTCTCCCATGCACACGCTCTTGCTTTCGCTCGAGCCCCGCACGTCGCGTTCAGCGGCGGGGGAGAGGGACTCACTTTTTTTTCCGGAGGAACTTCTGGAGCAGATTTCTGGAGCCACACAAAGCGGGAGAGCAGTGAAGAGAGCGGCAGCCGGGGCACTGCAGCGCCAGCCGGCCTCCCGCGAGGGCGGGACGCCATTCCTGCCGCCACCGCGCTGCAGCCTCTGCCGTTCCGTGCAGCGCGGCGGGCCGGTTCGCGGCGGCGCCGAATCCATTGCGAACGGTCCACATGGAGAGTTCGCGGCCACCCGCCGCGGAGGGGCCGTGGCGGGCAGCCGCGCTCTTCCCCCGGGCCTGCGCTCACGCGGCCGGGCCTCAGCGCGGAGACTCGAGCGCGACACTTGCCTGACCAGCGCCCCCGGCGGGCACGGGGCGCTTTCTGCAAAGCAGCCGCTGCAGCCAGGCCGGCCCCCAGAATTTAGTTTCTGGGAGTGCCCACGATCGTGTGCCTACGATCGTTCTTCAGCCGTGGCACGAATCATTTATACAGCACAAGCATATTTGGGGCATAAGGGAAAAAAATATCCAAACGCCATCTTCCAAAAATAAAGCGGTACGTGCGCGGGAAGTGGGAGTGCTTCTTGACCCCATGGCTTTGTGGACCAAAGGCTGCGTGTCCTGATGTGCGTATGCCCAAAATACACTACAGGGGATCAACAAATCGTTCCAGGTGGTGCACCTGAGCATTCCCCAGCTGACCCTTTTATACATTGATCATTAGAGGGTTACACGGAACACAACACTTTCCAATAAGCTGCAGAAGTAAAAAGTGATCCTTTTCACTTGCATACCAAAGAAGATGCTCTGAAGGAGTGGGAGGATGGGGTGGGCTGGTTTGAATTGCCCTTTGAGCTGCTGTAATCCGTCAACTGCCAACTAGTTTTTTCTGGATTGGTGCCTGGTCAGTGTCGGCTATATTTCAAGGATGCAGACATGTTGATTTCTAGAAAAGAAGGGGTGTTTTTCATAGACCTGGTTATGTGTCAGTGATTGGATGATTTAACCAATGAAAGTTCTACCTATTGATTTGTGCATCAGCTTGAAGGTCACCCACTTTTTCCTCTCAAACCCCTCCCCCATGCTTGTGTTTTACCATTTTCGGCTTAGGCACTATTCTGTGACTTTTAGTTGGTATAATGAAGAAATTGGCCTAATAAAGGTATTGCCAAAATAGGAATACTGGGATTCTAGCTTATGCATATTTATCCAGTATTAATTTCTACCCAATTCAGTGACTTCTGTGAAACAGTAGTAAATTTGAAATCTAGATGGAAGTCCTCCACAGTATGTCCCACTGAACTCAGTAGGCTTATTTCTATGTAAAATATGTGTAGGCCAGAACTATTCATATTTACACAGAAGTAAGGCCCAGTCAGTTGAATGGACCACACAGCCACTGCCATTCAGTTGGACTTCTGTGTTTTTCTGTTTCACCGCCTAGGACCTGCAAGAAGCTACAACTGAAAAAATCAGCTACCATACTTGCTTCCTCATTGGCACCATAGCATCCTTGGAAATCATGAATCATATCTACTTGTTCTCTCAAATATGTTTCAAACTATATTTCAGCCTCTGCTTTAAAAATAAAAGAGTTCTTATGAGGCTAATTTTATATTTTGGTGTCTGCATATTTAAGGGAGAAATCTATGTTTCTGTGCTTGGAAGCAAGTCCCTAGAGCTCAGTGGAATTTGATTTTGAGTGAATTTGGAATTGGGCACCATTCCAGTAGTGTTTCCCACATAAACACCTAACACAATGTTCATTAGCAGCTTTTATTTTAGGTAAGTACAATGTCAGCTTTTATTTTAGGTAAGTACAATGATAACTGCCATATTTCCATAGAAAAGCCTGAATATTTGGCTGTAGGTAGAGTCAACTACATCTGATCCAATAAAATAGCATCATCAGTTGGTTCTTGTGTGTGGCATATCTCATTTTGGAAAACTCAAGCTACAAACCTTTTTATCAGAAAAAAATGCAGCATGCCCCACATATCGTAGCCATTTGGCATCAAACTCTTTTGATGGAGCTCTTATCAAGAAACATCTCCTAAGTGGCGAAAGGCAGCAAATATTGCAATTTTCTATTATTTAAATTAGTTTTCCATTTGTCAGATTTGTTTAACAAAGCTCTGTAGAACAATCTCAGGAACACAGTGGTTTAATTTTCACAAGAGAACAACCCACCCTGTGATTAAGGTATGCGATCTAAGTTGGAGTCTGACGGACAGCTGGGCACACTTTCTGTTGTCTTGCTCCTTCTTCCCTTCAGTCCTCTCACCAGTATCTCAGTGAATAATGAATCCATCTTGTGCAACCCCCTTTCATTTGCTGCTGCTGTTCCTCCACTCCTTTTAATATGTGTGATGTTTGGTGATGTTCTCCAGGGACAGCCCCTCCAGAACATCAGGAAAAAGTAGAAGCAGTGGCTCATACGGTGTCATGGTTGGGGTGGGGTGAACAAGCCTCAAACGGACATGCCAAAGAGACACCCAGGCACTGGTTGAACAGTTCTCAATCACAGTGGCTCGAGCAAGCTCAGAAAAAGTGCTGAGGGGTTTTTATCAGTTCCCTGAAACCATGATAGGATCGGTCTCACATGTTTGGATAAGATGCCAAGCCAGTATGGGACCAACAACACCTAGAACATCCCATCATGTTCAGTTGCCCCCCAAAAGCCACCCTGTAGAAAGTGGTCTGAGTTCACATGACATGGTAACCCACTGTGGTTAATTACCCATGATGGGTTGCCATATAATATGAACCCAGCTAATAAGGGGCAAAAAATGTTTGTATGTTTTTCTTTACATACCCATGGAATATTAATACAGATTCTTTTGACTAGTGAAAATAAAAAGCAGATGCATGGGTAAGATTATATGCCCAGTGTTAACATTTCTCCAGCTACATTTGCATGGCACATTAAATATGTACTTCATTAGGGACCGGAAGACCATTTACACAAGCCATGATACTTTCAACCATGTTTTTCATCATAAGCCGTCGGGTCTGTGAAGTTGCACTTCCAATATGAGGTGTTATAATGACATTCTTTAAATGTAGTAAAATATGGTCCCTGAAGGCAAAAAGAAACCAGGTTTACATAAAATCTTAATGAAATTTGCTGCATTGACTACAGATATTAATACAGGCTATGGTACGATCAATTGTTTCAGAGATATATTAAAAAGTAGGTTTGATTGTGCAAAAACAATCACTATTTATTTATTTATTAAAACATTTCTATGCCGCCCCTTGCCGAAGCCTCACAGCATACAATATAACCTCCATAAATAATTAGGGAATAGTTTACTCAAGATATTTGCATCCCCAAGAAATTGTACCACACAATCATAAAAGTACTATTGAGGTTCCTGTACTGGCATGTCCTTACAAATACTGCTGTTTCAAGGGATTATTTGGGCAGCCTTGGCAACTGGATTGGCCACTCATCTGCCAGATAAGATAATGCTGCAAATGTACTGGCACTAAAATAAAGGTCAACTCACAGGTTATTTTCATGCAAATATAGCTGCAGTTATAATTCCTCATGCCTCTGAATACCTATCATCTAATGTTCTAATGTCAGTTCAAGTCTTCCCATACTTATTGAGCTGTGGTCAAAGGGCTGCAACTGTATGAGCACATGAGGAAATCAGCAGACTCAGGAGAAATTCAAGATCTGTACATATCCCCCAAAAAGTAAGAGGTGAGAACCTGCTATGCAAAAATGAAATGAAATCTTATAGGGATTTATGGCATGGAATACTGGCTGACTGAGTAGGAAAAATAGACAATTGGGTGGGAGAAAAAATGGATTGGTTGGAAAGAGACTGTCAACGGAAAAGCTAATCTGCATGAGGATCTTTGCTCATGAAAGTGGGTGGTGACTATATCATTCCGTTGGGGTGTTTTGCATCTCATCAGTTATTTAATGGTAATGTGAACACTCTGAGACATGTGTTACACCCACCATCAGATCCATGCCTTCTGCATCACAAATATCCAGTGATGAATGTTCTTTTTGTGTCATTATGTATCAATTTATTATATTTGCATCCTGACTTTCATTTAAGAAGCTCAGGGCATCATATATAAAGATGGAATTACATCTGGCATCTTCAAGAATTTTTGCACACACAGAAGGGGTAAATAATATTCACATCTGCATTACACTTGAGAAACAAAAATATAAGAATTAGCCCCAATAGCAGACAGAGGGTAAACATGTCACAAGCTGTCCTTGTGGTCTGTGCCATATCCTGCAGAGTTCCGTTTTATAATTTGTTGTAAACTGCTTTGGGATTTTTAAAACAGGAAACATTTTTAAAACGTATATATTTTTAAACAAACAAATCATTTCTCAGCTAGCTTAAGAGGCTTGAGAGCAAAGAATACAGGTTCAAAGGAGAGATTTAAGGGTTCTTGGAATTTGAATCCAAAGTTCAATTAACAATTTTGGTAAGTGTTTGCATAAATTTTGTCTGCACAGCAAAGTCTTTAAAACTGAACTTGCTTATCCAAATCTGCTGCTGTTTCAGAGCAGTGATTCTCACCAGCCTTGAACAGGAACCATTTCCCCTCCATTTATTGTTTCTAAAGCCACTTGGAAGCGGTTTCTGGGCTGCCCCTTTCTCTCTCCTCCACCAGCAAAGTCTAATAAGCTTACTGGGACTTCTGGTGGAGATAGATCTTTTTCTCATCACTGAGTGTTCTGCTTTACTCAGAGCTGCAAATAAGCTATTGCAGTTCCACATCCTCCCACCCATTCATTCACTTTCTTATGACCTCTGGTGTCCGGGCAGTGCCTCATCAATCATGTTGCTCATTGCCCCTTGGAGTCTTCTCTCACCACAGCTAACTGGCAAGCTGCTTCTGTATTCTCCTCTTTCTCCCTCTCCCCAGTCACCTTAGATCTGATTAATGATAAGCCATATCACAGCAGCCAGCCAGTTGCTAAAGAAAACAACAAGGCAAAGCTAGAGAAGCCCTGCTGAGAATGAGCTGCTACCACAAAGAAAGAGAGGAGTTGAAGAGTCATGCTAAGATGATTGGGAGCTCTGAGGCCTTGCGGTGAAGTCTGTCGCTTCAGAGCATTTACATTAGCATGTAATATCACATAACAGAATTGATTTAGCAAGAAGTAAAGCAAGGACTAACACACAACATTTGCCTTGTATTAGAATAAGTGGCCCTCTACCTTACCTTAAGCAACCCTGGGGTGAAAATGAAAGAGAGATGAGTCAACAATTTATTTTGGCATAGGTGATGGGTGTACAGATTATTGATGCTAAATACTACTAAAGCATTTTGCATCAAACCTTTTTTACCTTGGCAATGGCTCAGGGTATGTCACATCCAAAGCAGCAGCCTTAATAGTTCTATTTTGCAATGCCTTCACCAGGGCATCTTGATCAACCACTTTACCTAGATTAAAAATAGAATAACTTTTCTGAATGAAAATGCTGTTTAACAGCAAGTTAAACAGCAAAAGATTTACAATCTACCATGAGATTTTAATAATAATAATAATAATAATAATAATAATAATAATGTGTCCAGTATCTGGTCCATTTTTGCCCCATGGTAGTGTAGAGTGCAGGTGCAGTCCCATGCAAGTTTAGACAGGAAAAAAAGGCCTGCTTCTCTTAGCATGCCCCAGCCAACATAGTCTAAATTTGCACAGGGTTGTGTCCTAATTTACTTAAACTGGTGTAGTAGACAATAATATCTGTTAGCCTCATGTGCTAACTCCACCAAGTGGTAAGGATTCACCCCCAAAAAGTTTCACTGTTGTATCTATGCCAGGGGTGAGCAACATGTGGCTCAAGGACCACATGCAGCTCTAGCCCCCCAGGTTGCTTCTGCTACCATCATACAATTGACATCTGCAGCAGTGGCAGCAAGAAATCCCTAAATTTAATTGAAAAATCATTACAAAGGAATTTAAAAATTACATTTGGGTTGAAAAGAATTTAGCTTTTTACCTCTCTGTAGCAATTTGTTACTGAAATTCAGTATTTATTTATTTATTGCTGTTCCCACCAAAATAAAATAAAATAAATCAACAGGGTTGTGGAAGTGCAGCCTGTTGGAAGGAGTCCAAAGAGTCAACCCCTGAGACTATTTTGAAGCCACCCACCTCCGATCTAGGGCATTCAACCATCTTATTTGTAATGGCAGTAACATATCTGTTTTCTTGCTGGCATAGTGGGGTTTCCACCAGATTATATTACTTTAGCCAGTGGATATTCACTGTAGGATTACACCTGAAGTACACCCCAGTGGTTTCAGTCTTCACTTTTCCAAACTAGAATGTATTGTCAACATGCTACCATGCAGAAATTATCACTGAAGTATCATTACTGAAACAAAATGTAGTTATGATGAGTGTCAAGAAAGTATTTTTTACTCTACCTCTGCAGATGTTGATAAGGATAGCACTGGGTTTCATAAGATCTAGCTCCCGTTTCCCAATCAACTTGTACGTTTGAGGCGTAAGGTTCACAGCCAGCATCACAAAATCTGATTGGCGGAGTAAGTTTTCCATCTTTTGGCAATAAATAGCCCCAACAGCCTGTTCATCCACCTCATTTCTGCAGGAATCAAACATTTAGCTCTAGTTAAAACTCTGACCTGTATTAGCACATTTCACCACTTTTTATCTTAATGCCTCTGACAGAAGATCAGGCTCTTGGTGGTAAATCTTCCCCCTCCTGCCTGTTTGCGGGGGGATGAAGTTCCCCTCTTTGCTATCTGCAATTGGAAGCTGAGTTCAGCTGGCCACAAACAGCTCTTGCCCCGAAGCAGGACAGGACTGATCAGGCACGCTTGCCTGCTGCTCTAGAGCAAGAGGGAAAGAAAGGGGGAGGATGGGCTGGTATTACCTGGGAAAGGAGCAGCACTAGTCAGCTGGTTCCCCTGCTGCTTGCACCATGCACCTGAAGGAAGGGCCTCCACTGGCCCCACACGCCCGAGGCAAGCAAGAGGGTGAGAATTAGCTGGGTGGCGGTGCTGCTCTGCCAGTTCATCCACTCATCCTTCTTTCTTGCTTCTACTTGTGAGAGAATCATCCTCAACATGGTCACCTGCCTTTTTCGCAAGTGACAGTGACGAGAAGGAAATGGTCTTGCCCTTCTTTCTCACACCTTCTTACCAGAGAGGCATCCCCAACCTGATGCCCACTTCCCTTTGCTTCTTCCGTTTATATTGCAGGAGGAAAAAGAAGTCCTTTACATATTTTTCCCTGCTGGAGTTTGTATTTCTCTGTCTTTCTATATATTGTATAATCCAACCACAATGTTGTACTCTGGTATAGTTGCCGTATAGTGAGATTTGCTCAAAGTACAACAAGAATTTTGTTCTGGTTTGAAATTTGATACCTGATTTTCCTCATTCTTACAGGAAGCCTAGAAAAAGTCTAGAAACATAGGAGAGGCTCTGGAGGATGATGGATTTGTGAAAAGTATCAGCAAGCTTCTGCAAGGGATCATGAGTGCATAATAAACACTTCAAATACAGAAGCCTGGCAGATCAGGGGAAGAGCGTGATAATTAAATCACAATGGAACTATGTGCACAGAGAAAGTGAAGTAATTAATGCCAAAATCAGAATAGTAACATCTGAGGGAGGGATCTATACAAGTTCAGGGTATCTACAATCCAATCAGAGAGGTGTTTACCTCCGGTTCCTGTTGTGATAAAGGATGTTCATTTCAAAAGCTTTGGCTTTCTGAGCTATCTTATAACCAATTGTACCCATTCCAATGATCCCCAAAGTCGCACCAGTTACTTCTTCTCCCAGCCAGTCAAAAGCAAATTGTTTCGTGTCTGGAGAAACTGCAATTTCGTGACCTAAATATTGAAATAAACCCATGTGGGAAAGTTGTATATACTTAACATAAACATTAAGTGAAAACAAGAAGAATGGATGGTTGCATAAATATTAATTCCCCTGAGTCAGTTCTTGCCAGAAGCACCTTTGGCAGCAATTACAAGTGCAGGTCTTCCTTGGCAAGTCTGTGTTACCTTTGTGCATTTAGATCTTGCAATAGCTGCCCATTCTTCCTGACAAAACCTGTCCAGTTGTCAGGTTGGATGAGGAACATTGGTGAACAGCGAATATGCAGGATCACAACAAATTCTTAATCAGATTGAGGTCTGGGCTTTGACTAGGCCATTCTAATAGATACAGGATCTTCTTTAAAACTACTGCGGACTTAACTTTGACTGTGTTTAGGATCATTGTCCTGCTGGAAGGTGACACTGCACCCCCATCACAGGTCCCTTGCAAACTGAAACAGGTTTTCCTCTGGAATTGCCTTGCTTTTGGCTCCATGCGTTTGGCCTTTAGTGCTGACCAGTTTCTCAGGGCCCAGTCCCTACAGAAGAAAAGCATCCACCAAAGCATGATGCTGCCACCAGCATGCTTCACAGTGGGGATGATGTTCTCAGGTCAATGAACACTTCAGTCTCACACAGCATTTTGCAACAAGGCCAAAATGTTCATTTTTGGTCTCATCAGACCCATTTCCCACATGCTTGCTGTGTATCTCTCAAGCCTTTTTGCAAACTCCAAATGGACCTTGATAATCTGCTTGTTTCAGTAATGGCTTTCTTCTCAATATTCTTCTCTAAAGGTTAGCTTTGTGGAACATCTAGTTAATACTTGTTCCATGGCTGGTTGCTCCAATTTATTTATTATTTAAAGTTTGTATATGTCATCCAATACTAAAGTTTCTGGACAGTTTACAAGAAAATAATCTCCAATCTCAGCTGCAGTTCTCTCCAGCTCCTTCAGAGTTACCACTGGCCTCTGTGACCTTTGTCCAATTATTCAGTTCCAGTGGAAGCCCTCTCTAGGCAGAGTCATGGCTGAGCAATATTCTTTCAAGGGACTGCAGGTGGTGCAGTGGTTTAAACCACTGTGCTGCTGGGCTGGTTGATCCAAAGGTCTGGTTTGAATCCACACAACGGGGTGAGCTCCCGTACTCTGTCCCAGCTCCTGCCAACCTTGCAGTCTGAAAGCATGCAAGTGCAAGTAGATAAAAAGGTACTACTTAGGTGGACAGGTAACAGTGTTCCATGCACTTTGGTGTTTAGTCATGCCGGCCACATGACCATGGAGACTGTCTGTGGAATTTTTTTTTAAAGCAATATTCCTTCAAGTGGTCACATCAAAGCCTCATTTTGTGTCATAATAAATGTATTTTGCACTTTCACAGTTCTGACTGAGTGACCTGTGTATATCAAGTGGTAACAAGGCCAATTAAATCCATTTCTTTTTCAGACTGAAACACAAAAAATGTGGAAAAGTCAAAGGGAATTAATATTTTTCCAAAGCTACTATGAGGTGTTTGTGCCACATGAGGAAAAAATGGTTTGCCTAATCTAAAAGTCCTTTTTAAGACTGAGAATGTGTTCTTGGATAGATTTGTTTGGAAATGTTTTATACTGACAAGCTAATCATACCATCATTGAATAATAGTGTGGTTTTTAATCATACATCTAATACATAATGCTTGGATTCATAGCCTATAATCAGGTGATGAATATGAATTGTCATTGAAACATGTGTTTTTGAAATGAGAACCAACAAATCATGGTGAACAACCCACAGTTCATGCTCTAAAAACAAACTGTGGTTTATCTTCAAGGGTTCATGACCAGCAAACCACAACTTATTAGTGCGGGACGTACCATGGCTGAGCAGTGGGAAAGGACCTATGGGACGCCCCTGCTGCTTCTTTGCAGTATAGCACAGCCGAGCGTGGGGTCAGCTCACCCTGGGCTTCAAGCAAGGTGGCCCATCCCTTCTTGCCCCCTGCTCCAGGTTCCCTGCCCAGCACTCCTGCTGATGGGCAGGAGAGTGAGATTCCTTGTGCGCAATCCTGCTCTGTGGCCATCACAGGAGCACTAGGCAGGGAAGCAGATATCAGTGGCCAAAAGCAACAAATTTAGCCGCGGTCGTTCTGCTCCCCTCGGTGCTCCAGCAGCAACCTCTGGGATAGCTTTTGATCATTTGTCAGACACAGGGGAGTTTTAGCTGCAGAGTGCAGAAAAATTCACTAGGAGGGTTAAGATGTCACACAACCCCCTGCAGGGTATTATACTCATTCATAACATCAGCATCATCATTTTAAAAGTCATTTGAGAAACTAAATTGTACCTTCCACAATCCTCCTAGCAGAAGCCAGCATCAAAGCTATTCCAAAATCTGCTGTAGAGTTGGCAACTACAAATGGAGTGTTAGTTACTTTCACACCAAAGCTGGAGATCAGTTTTAGGTCCAGGTGATCCACTCCTACACCAGAACTTGCAATCACCATTAAATTAGGCAAGCTTTGCAGGAGTTCCCTGTTAACCACTGGTTTATGGACCCACACAAAGATTACTTTAATTTTATGACTAAGCACTTGCTTGTTTTCAAGAAATTCCTTCATTGTGATGAGTTTAAGATGTTGCTCCAGGTACTCCACATGATCTTCATATATTCCATCTGTACCTCCTATAGCATGGATTAGCGTACAGGGAATTTCCTGGTCTTCCATGATCTATTTAAAAATATTTATATACATATAATATTAATAGGGTAAATCCACTTTTTATTAATAAGAAAGTAGCCACAATTTACCTCATTCTCTATGATAAAGAAGTTGCACCTTAGAACAGTCTGGTACATTTACCAGATACAAGCATCACAGCTTACTACATTAATTTCATTACTTCCTGCCAACTGTTATCACTAAAAGGCTTATGCGGCAAGTATCACCATTTGCAGCAGATACAGTTAAGCAAACCAATAATATTTCTGAAATTAGGGTAGCCCTCCCAAATACATTGATCTGTCAAACTTGGTCCTCAGAGTTATTTCAACTTCCCCTGGGCGATACCTGAGTGAGATGTTTTGTACAGAGATGGAAGAAGAATGGCAAAATTATAATCATGGGCTACAATGTACAGTTACTTGGTGGAAGTACAACTCAGTGAAACTTATGTGGGAGTAAACATACATAGGATCAGACTGGACATCTGCAACAATGAGTTTTTCATTCTGCATGTACTATAGAATAGGGCTTAAAGCAGAGATGTATGATCTGAGCCCCACAGGTCTAGCTGAGTCTGCAGAACCTCCCATGGAGCTTCCTTGGGGTTTCTCCATGGGACAGGCAGATGTAGACTTCTGTGGTCCCCTGAGGAAATCCCAGCGGATATCTTAGATAACAGTGTAGATCCTCCTGCTTGCTGCTCCTCCTCACAATTGGAGAGGGACATCTTCTGATCTGCAGAGGGGCTTAGAGGGAGACAGTTTGGCCCTCACTCAATTATAGATCAGCACCAGTGATGTGCGGCAGAGCCCATTTTGATGTTTATCCAACCCAATTATTATAAGTAGACCCCTTCAGTTGCCAGGGTGCTGCCTCTGCTTTCACTGCGTAGAAGTAACAGTTGCTAAGAGAGTCTCCATTCCAGAAATTTCTTAGTTTCAAGCCATTATTATTGTGCTAAGAACAGTATGTCCACAGGCATGTTCACAGGTAGCCAATACACTCATTTTGGGGTAAATGATGAGTAAGTGTTAAAAAGAGGAGGGGGTGAGCATAAAAGGTCTAAGAAGAAAAAGCTGCAAAAATGATAAAGACAAAGAAAGACCGTATGGAGAAATTCAGAAGGAACTAGATCAGTATAACCTACAGGAACGAACATTAAGGGCAGCAGTGTGACAGTTTGCAGATATGGAAAACTATCAGAAACGTTAGAATAACTGTTGATCCTACTGGTTGTGGAAAGTAAATGAAAGTGTGATTAAAAATATATTTCTTAGCAGCACCCTACTAAGAATACTGGTACCTTACAGGACTGTCAAAGAGAAATTTAACATGTAAAGCTGTCACATAACTGAGAGTGTTGGGAAAGCTGCATCTACAGAATTTCTGTCTGCTGTGCAACAGTTAAAGGTTCAAGGGAAAAGTGGAAATATTAAAAATCAGAATGGATGCATTGATAAAGACATGTCCATCTTTGGAAAGCCAGTGTGGTGTGGCAGAGTGCTTAGACTGTGGGCCTAGGACAGGGGTCAGCAACCTGCGGCTCCAGAGCCGCACGTGGCTCTTGAATCCCTCTGCCGCGGCTCCTCGCTCAAAATACGCGTCACAGCCGCTGATCTGCCACTGAGGCTCTGAGTTACAAAATATCAATAGGTGATGATGAAGCATCCACTGGGAATGCCAGGCTAGCTGGTTAAGTAAATTGCTACATTCCTCTGCTATTGTGCAGGGAAAGAGCGGAACAAGCTTCCTGCAGGCTCTCATGTTACACGAAATGCTGCAGGAAAGATTCTCTTTGTCCCAATGTAATCTCCTTCATCTGAATGTTAAAAGCTGCACTTGGGACCTGTCACAATTCACATCACTTGACTGGTTATCTGCTAATCAGTCACTAAATACACCTATATCTGTGACCTACGCCAGCACAGCCACCGATCTGGGACCTGCACCCATTTACTGAGCTCCCCCCAGCCCCATAGGCCAATCATGGATAAATCAAAGAAAAGGAGTTTCTGAAGAAAACCGAACATTTAATGGTACGAGGGTAGATTCATTTGCTTTTACTGCTGACGAACTTATGGGGTTTGCTGTTTAATGCATGCAGCCCTTTAGCACTGACTTTGACTCTGTAGGAAGCTGTTCTCCTATTCAAAATATATGAAAGGAATCCTACTAGTTTATAATGTAAGATTAAAAATACCAGTTTTTAGTGACTGAACAAGAGCTGCAGCTAAATCATAATGAAGATATAGATCTACTTTCTTGTTTTAAGAAGATTCTTATAAAAATTCCAGCAACATTATTACACTGGGAGTGGGATGTTTGGTCAATATTTCACCAAACTATAAATATTTGTTGTATTGCAGAAACTCTACTTACTGTATGAAAGTATCAATTAGTCCTTTTTTAATTCAGGTTGACAGCTGACTGCACCCTCCAATACATGTGATAAAAGGATGAGGGCACACAGAAGCAGGTGGCATGTTTGGTTTGCTGCAGGTGGATAATTTAAGTTCAGCTTTTTATTTCATAAATATGAGGAGGACTCAAATAGACATTGAGTATTTTATTTGAAAGTAACCTTCGACCTAGTGTCTTTTTTTCAGAGTTCAAAATGTTTTTGTTGCATGCAGAATTTAAAAATTTGTTTCCTCTGTAGCAGTTCATTGATTTCATAAATGCAACACACTATAATTTTTGTATACATAGCATAAAGGTAAAGAAGTTATATGCAGTGTTATCTTCATTTTAGATGTCAAAAGGCTTTTGCAGCTCCCAGTGTGTTCTTTTCTGTGGGAAACGGATCCAAATGGCTCTTTGAGTGTTAAAGGTTGCCGACACCTGGCCTAGGAGATCCAGGTTCTTAGTCCCCACTCAGCCATGAAAAGCACTGCATAACTTTGGACCGGCCACAGATTCTCAGCCCAGCCTACCTTAAAAGGGTTGTTGTTATGGGGTAAATGGAGTTGTGTAAGCTGCTTTTAAAGAATTTTAAGAAGGTGGGATGTAAATGCAGTGTAAAAATATCATGAGAACTGCACAATAGAAAAGATTTCTATCAATGTCACTTTTACAAGTGGTGTGGTTTATGCATTTATTATTTGTAGGAGTGTAAGTCACCATCAATGATTGTTAGAAAGACAGCCTACAGGGAAAAAAAAAAGGAATGGCCAAACTTTTTTTTCAAAAATAGAACACAGGTAGCTGTGCTCGTTTATAGGGGGAGGCTGGACCAGCCAGACTGCCCCTAGATTCCAGTGTGATCTGGGGAAATAGGATGCTTTGTCCCTCTTTCCCCCATGCGTGGCTTCGGTACAGTCAAAGGAGAGTTTTTAAAATGTAATCTGGACCCTATCCAAGAGAGGACCTTTGGACTCTCTTGTAAAAATCACTCCTTTCCATCTTTCCCCTCCCCCAATCCAACTTTTATATTTGAGCTCTTGGCTTCTCCTGTCATTGCCATCCTTTGGTAAGGCCTTTGCTTTGTTTCTATTTTTAGGGCGCCGTCCTAGGCATGTTCAGACAGGGCGACGTGATTCAAAACTCAAAATGTGCTTCTTCCAGCTCCCGCACCGTCTGAGGTCCCTCCACCCTTTTCGTCCTGCGGGAACGGGTCTCTCCCGTGGCAAGCGCTCAAAACACCATCTGCTTCCTTCCCCGAAAAGCCCAAAGCCCACCGCTTTCGCTATGAAATGTGTATCAACCACCCTCGCTGGTTCTGATGGCTCGCTCGCCCCAGCATATAACAAGAACTGCCATTCACAAAGCACGCCCATCGAATACATTCTCAGGAAGCGTCCGTGCTTAGAGCTTGTAAAAGTCTCTAGCACAGGAGCTGTTTTAGTCTGGAGAGATTTTTCTTGCTGCGCTCCCTGCACAGGTACGTAGCAAGAGATTCAAGGACTAAGGTTAAATTAAAAGGGAAAACAAACAAAAGGCATTCTCTATCCCCCATTCGTGTTTGAGATTTGCTATCGTCCAGTGGCTAGGACAAAGCTTGCCGGGTGCGTCTCTTTCTGCCTCGAACGGAATTACCTTGTTGAAGCGCCTGTGTTTAACCCCTGCAAAAACGGAATGGTTTCGTTTCTGGTTTGCTGCTTGTAGATTCTTGCCGGACTTCGGATGCAGAAAAGAAATTTAAATAACTCCAGAACGTTTAAGTTCCACGCTTTCTGAGGCAGCCGAGTCAGCAAGGAGGACTTTGTTCCTGAACAGCTAAATCAAGACGCTGAAATGGCACAGGTTTCAACTCGGGCAAGCTTTCACGCCCTGGTGCCCCTGAACTACCTAACCCCAGTCGTCACAGCTGGAGATGGAGGCGTTGTGGTCCAACTCATCTGGAGGACGCAGGGCTACGACAAGCTGACTCAGCAGGACCCAAGAGACGGTTTGCTTGCATGCTGCCAGAGATGCTGCCAGAGATAATGCAGCATGCAGAAGCCATCGCAGTATTTCAAGCAAAGGGGGAGATGACAAAGGGGCAGGAATCAATTGTTGGGAAGTGAGCGGTTCTTAAAAAGAGTTTTTTAAGAAGACCGAAACATGCCAGCTTTTATTATCTGGACATTGTATTATTTATAACATTCAGTGCTAGCTCTAGGCTTTGGAGAGCCTTTGGGCAAGACAACATTTTAGCCAGCTTTCCCACAGTCTATTTTGCCACCAATGGAGCAATCTCTTCAGGCGGCCGTCTCTCCTCTCCCTCACTATCACTGGCTCGCCTGCCAGATGCAGGCAATGAGACCAAGGCTTTTGCCCAGCCTTAACAACCGTGGTTGTATTTGTCTACTCCTCCTTTCAAGAAGGTCTGGGGAGCGTGTCTCTCTCTCTCCTTCCATTTTACTCTTGGAACAATTGTGTAAGTTAGGCTGAGAAGGAGTGACTGGCCCAAGGCCACCAATCCAGATTGCTGTAGGGTAATTTAAATAGCAGGGTAATTAAAATAGGAGCCTTACACATAATACGGGCTTGTGGGGACATCTTTTCCTACTCTTTTGACACAGCGAATGACTCACTTCCTCCTATTTTTTAGCAATCTGCACTTTTATTAAAGAGAGGTCTCTGTTAACATTTGCTCTAGAGTAGTTGATTTGGGACATTATCTGTATGGGTGAATTTGAGGCAATAGAGGAATAATTGAAGGGGAGTCGAATGGATTTGAAAAACTATTCTGGGGTGCAAATTGAAGAATGGGAAGTTGATGAGAAGTTGGCTTGCCTTGTGAAAATTTCAATTCCAGTAATTTAAATTCATAATTCTAGATATGCATATTCATTAGTATATGGAATAATTTGTTTCTGGGCCTGGGTCCTGGATCCTTTTGATAGCTATTCCATTAACTTGCCTCATCCCCTTTCAAAAGCAATCTAAGCTAATGGGCATCTCCATGCCCTGTAATTCTGAATTCCATTAATGAGTTACAAGCAATATGTAGATTGAAGCCACGCTGTTTAATTATTGAATTATTATACTATTATACAGATAAAGGAACAACAAGACTTGAACCAAAGCTAGTTTTTGTTGCTTTTAAACCACATCACAAGAGAAAAGGAAGGTCCTGGGATACCTAAGAGCCAAGCTACAAAGCCAGAGTGCTAGATGGGGTAAAACCTGAATTCTAGTCTTCACTGAGCCACGAAGGCCACTGATTCTCAGCCTAGCCTACCTCACAGGGTTGTTGTGAGGATAAACTGGAGAGGAAGGACATACAGAAGCTTCTTCACAAGAGGAAAAAGGGTAGTGTATAAGCACAGTGTAATTATAATGTCATGAGTGGAGGCATGGCGGGAGGGGAGCCCTCTGGAGCTGGGGTCAGACTAGAGCTGGGGAGGCTCATTCCGCACTTGTGGACTAGATAGACCTAGAGAGGGTTTTTCAATGTTTTTAACGCGGAAGCGGACGTGAACATGCTGCTACCCACCCTTGTCTCCTCCTCTATAAAAAGTTTTAGACTGTAAACTACTCAAGACTGGAACAAAATTAAAATGTGGAGGAGATTAAACTCCCAAGATGCACTGCTGCTTACTTGAAAATGAATTTTGGCAGAAGAACTCCTCGAATTAAGACTCCAGCATGAAATTGTGAAGCTAATGTTTCTCATGAGGTGTGATTATATTTAGAATGCAATCCAACATAGCCTACTCTTTTCTTGGTAACATTTTAAAGATCGCATGACTGCTTATTTCTGCTTTGTGAATGACCACTGTGATCTTCATTTCGTTTTGATATATTTCATTTCTATACTGCCCATTAGATGAAGTTCTCTGGGCAGTTAATAATTTATACAATGCAGTGAAATACAATGCAATAACACAGCATAACATTTCAGTACAACAATTTAAGCATTTTTTAATGGAGCAACTCCTACAAATTCAAGCATCTCACCTCCCAAAGTACAGTTCCAGCCTTGATTTTAAGGTCTCTGTGATGGGGAGCAGGTGGTATGGCCCACCCTTAATGGGACGGCATTCTTTGCTTCAAACTCCAAACCCCAAGCCCTGTGCAGTAGAAGTTGCTGTTGATTGTGCAGAGTTGTGGCTTCCCTTGTTACCTATTGTGGATCATCTCCCTGCCAGGCAAAATATTATTTTCTTCTCTCAGAGAATCGCAGTCCCTGGTCCCAAGGAAAGCTGTGCTTGTTTGCTGCAGGCCTCCTCCGGTGGGAGCCATTTGGGTGTTCTGTTCGATGGCATTTCCTTTCATCCCTTTGTATGTTCTGAGTTGGGCAGTTGTAGGATATGGCAGATGTTGCCTTGGCCATAGTACTGGTATTTTCCTCTCCTTGGCATATTGCACTATAGGACTACACCATCTGGGAAGCAGTATACTAATGGGCAATTAGCACGGCTCCGCGCCTTTAGAAAGCACTTTGTGTGTGGATTCCCCTTAACGGACCTGCAAACAGTAAGTGGAATATTATCTCCCAGCCCCGTTTCAACTAACATCCTTAAAATATATATAATCATCAATGTTCATTACATTTTACAGGGTAGGAGAGAACTTTCAATCTATAACTTGATAAAAGTTATAAATCTTCCCTCATCCATGACTTGATTGTGGATGAGGGGGCCGACCTGGCTTGCATAACGGAGACCTGGGCGGGAGAGGGAGGGGATGTTGCCCTCTCCCAATTGTGCCCACCCGGGTATATGGTCCAGCACTGTTCACGCCAAGAAGGGAGGGGAGGGGGAGTTGCGTTGGTTTACAGAGCCTCCATCTCTCTCACGGGTCTTCCGGTCCCTTTGAGACCAGGGCTGGAGTGCCTCTACTTGGTGTTGGGCGAACGAGACAGATTGGGGATGCTATTGGTGTACCGTGCACCTTTCTGCCCAGCAGTCTCCCTATCTGAGCTGACAGAGACCGTCTCGGACCTGGTGTTGAGGACCCCCAGGATGTTGGTCCTGGGGGACTTCAATCTCCATGCCGAGTCTGGACTGACCGGGGCGGCTCAGGACTTCATGGCCTCTATGATGGCCATGGGCCTGTCTCAACACGTCACTGGCCCTACCCATGAATGTGGACACACTCTGGACCTGGTATTCACGACGGGGCAGGTAGAGGATGACCTGAGGGTGAAGAACTTATGTTTGACTCCCCTGTCATGGTCAGATCACCTCCTGGTGAGGTTTGTGCTCGAGAGCGGCCTCTCCCTCTATAAGAGTGTGGACCCGATTGTATGGGCCCGCCCCCGGAGCTGGATGGATTCCTGAAGGCCCTGGGGGAGTTTCCGGCTGACAAGACTGGTGCTCCTGTCGAGGCTCTGGTCGAACTGTGGAACGGAGAGATGACCAGGGCTGTGGACACGATCGCCCCTAAGCGTCCTCTCCCACCGGGCAGAGTCCGCTCTTCCCCTTGGTATACACCTGAATTACGGGCGATGAAGCGAGTTGGGAGACGGCTAGAGTGTAGGTGGAGGAAATCACGGGATGAATCTGACCGAACACACTTGAGAGCCCACTATCGGGCCTATGCTGTGGCGGTGAAGGCGGCGAAAAAGAAGTTTTTTTCCGCTTCCATTGCCTCCTCACAATGCTGTCCAGCGGAGCTTTTTCGAGTGGTGCAAGGCCTGGTTCGCCTGGGCCCTAAGGAAGATCCGATGCCACCCTCAAAGGCCCGCTGTGACGACTTTGCCAGGCATTTCAGGGAGAAAATCGCTCAGATTCGTCACGAGCTGGACTCCACTAATGAATCAGAGGTCTCTGAGGAGTCGCCAATGCCACCGTCTGGTCCAAAATTGTTGGAGGAATTTCAATTATTGCGGCCCAATGATGTGGACAAGGTGCTTGGAAGAGTACGTCCCACCACTTGCCTATTGGATCCTTGCCCGTCTTGGTTAATAAATAGCTCCAAGCACGGGATTGGGACCTGGATCTTGGAAGTGGTTAACGCTTCTCTGAGGGAGGGTCGAGTGCCTGCCCCTTTAAAGGAGGCGGTAATACGACCGGTCCTGAAGAAAGCGTCACTGGATCCAGAGATGGCCACTAACTATAGACCTGTGGCCAACATCCCGTTTCTGGGCAAGGTGTTGGAGCGAGTGGTGGCGGGACAACTCCAAGCACTCTTGGATGAAACTGATTATCTGGATCCTTTTCAGTCCGGCTTCAGACCCGGGTACAGTACTGAATCTGCCTTGGTCGCCCTGTACGACGACCTGTGCAGGGAGAAGGACAGGGGGAGTACATCCCTGTTGGTTCTTCTGGACCTCTCGGTGGCTTTCGATACCATCGACCATGGTATCCTTCTGGATAGACTTGCGGGATTGGGGGTTGGAGGCACTGCTTTGCAGTGGTTCCGCTCCTATCTCAACGGTCGATTCCAGAAGGTAGTGCTGGGGGACCATGTCTCTACGTCATGGCAGCTATGCCATGGAGTACCACAGGGCTCCATTCTATCCCCTCTGCTATTTAACATCTATATGAAACCGCTGGGAGAGGTCATCAGGAAGTGTGGGCTGCGGAATCATCAATACGCTCATGATACCCAGCTTTACCTCTCATTCTCCACTAATCCAGGTGAGGCAGTGGCTGTGCTGAACCGGTGCTTGGCCGAAGTAAGGGAATGGATGAGGGCCAATAAACTGAAACTCAACCCAGACAAGACGGAGGTCCTGTTGGTTGGCGGATCGGGTTTCGGAGAGGGTGGATTTGACCTGGTCCTGAATGGTGCAACACTCCCTCTTAGGGATAAGGTCCGCAGCTTAGGTGTACTCCTCGACCCGGAGCTTTCTTTGGAAGCTCAGGTGACAGCGGTAGCGAGGAACGCCTTCCTTCAGCTTCGGCTGATTAATCAGCTGCGCCCCTACCTGGAGTACGACTGCCTGGCGACGGTGACACACGCGCTGGTGACTTCCCGCCTAGACTTCTGTAACGCGCTTTACGTGGGGCTTCCCCTGAAGACAGTCCGAACACTTCAATTGGTGCAAAATAGAGCTGCCAGGTTGCTGACGGGGATGGGGCGTTATGCTCACATGACTCCAGTCCTCCGTCAGCTTCACTGGCTTCCCATTGAAGCCCGGGCCCAATTCAAGGTGTTGGTTATGACCTATAAAGCCCTAAACGGCTTGGGTCCTGGCTACCTGAACGAGCGCTTACGTCCGTATATGCCCGACTACCCTTTGAGATCTGCGGGAGAGTCCCTTCTCCAGGAACCCTCCATGAAAGAAATTAGGAGAGTAAGTACCTGGAGGAGGGCTTTCTCTGCGGTGGCGCCCAACCTATGGAATTCACTCCCCAAAGAGGTCCGCCTGGCACCGTCGTTACTGGTTTTTCGGCGCCAGGTAAAGACCTTTTTATTTAAACATCATTTCAATTGTTAAAACATATGATCTGGCCAGGGCAACTTCTTCTTCCTTCTCTTTCTCCTCCAATATTTTTATTTTATACTGATAATTTTAATTTTATATTTGTAAATCAATGTATTTTTTGTATTTTTATATTTAATGGTAATTTATTATGTACTATGGTATTTCAATGTATTTTATCATGTTGTAAGCCGCCCCGAGGTTTCGGCAAGGGGCGGCATAGAAATGTTATAGTAATAATAATAATAATAATAATAATAATAATAATAATAATAATAATAAGAAAACAGAGCAAAGGAAACAGGGTTTACTGGATTTGGAAACTATTAATATATTTTGTTTTAATTTTACAAAAGCAAATGACTATGAAATGAGAAGTCAAGCATATTTCAAGATGTTTATCATACAATGAAGAAAACAACCTTTATGTTATGCTATCTGGTATGCTGCCTCTGTTTGATCACAAATTATTATACGTCAGTTATTTGCAAACTTCAAAGCAAGTGTGTTATATAAGCAATAACTCAAGAGAAAAACATTTCAGAAAAGCTTTTAATATTGATTCTCAAGTGTTGTTTGACATTTAACTGCAAAATTGTAGCAGAAAACCTGTCTGTTAAGTTGAGGAATTGCAACACATGGAAACTACTATAGGTTTGATTTGCATCTTCCATCCAGAACTAAGACTAATGCACATATATGTGAAATTCAGTTTGCATCGATACATCTATGACAAATCAATATCTTTATTCCATTAGGGAAAATTGTGGGACAGTTTTTGTTTTGTGCAATTCTTTGTGGCATGGTCAGTCAGGAAATACTTCACTAGGCATTGGGAGACCACTAAGAGCAGCTAGTATGTTTTCTACTGCTTCCTTCATCACCATAAAGGAGGATCTGGTTGTTCTGCCTGCAAGAGGAGGAGTTATGAGAACATTCTTTAATTTCAGTAATGGGTGATCTCTGAAACAAGAGAATAAAGGGACAGGGATAAGATAGGTTATAGTGATGCTGTTTAGAAATGCTATATAAAGAACTGTTTATTTTATAATATTTGTTTTATATTTAAATATACTTCATGTGACCTAGAATGCTAGGCCCAAGGCCTGCCTTTGCTACTGGTTATCCTGGCATATGAGGAGAGGCTTTTGGCTGTTTAACACCTGTTGGAGCAGAAATTACATTTGCATTGATTGCTCAAGTTGGTTAATAAGATTTGGGCATTTCATGGGAAACACATTGGCTGGGATTATTATTATTTTTAATGTAACGGAGAAGTCAGTTAAGGGCAGTTTGGGACAGTTGGGCTGGACCACAGTGGACCACAAGCAGAGTGCTTAGGAGTGAGAGGAAACATGAATTTTCAGTATGTGTCCCTACACACCGGCCGATGGAGTTGGCTGCTTGTGAATGGAATGGCGCTCCTGCCTTTCCCATCCGTCCCTGTCTGTTTGCTGAGGAACATTTGGTGAATAAAACTGCAGCTATATGACACTCACATAGTGGCAATAGAGCTGCAGAATAAAGCAACTGGAACCTCAGGTCTACATGCTGAATCTGGCTCACAGAGGATCTTTCCAAGATCCCTCTTGCTCTTCCCGCACCAGAAAAAGGCAACTTCTCTCTTGCACTGAGTGGCAAAGCCCAGCTCTTATCTTCAATTAGAAATTGGAGATAAGAGTGCAGCTCCATTATGCAGCACTAGAGAAAGGAAGCATGTCTTTGGTACTGAGGAGTTATTTTCTGAAAAGGACTCCTCAAATGAATGGTTAAATTCAAATATGGAGAAATTCACTATTTAAAAAAAAAGGCAAATAGTGTCATTCTATAACGTGGAGGGGGAAACAGAACTCCTGTCTCTGACTGTAGTGGAACCACAGGATTGCGCTATAAATTGTAGAAAAAAGCTTTCAGTCCTAGCTTTTAATATTTACTTAACCTGTACCCAGTCTAGCCTTTTATAGCCTCTGGAATGTGTGGCAAAGGACATGCAACTGTTATGGCAAGTAAAAAGTTAATTCTTGTTAGAAGACCCATCTACCTCTTAGAGGAGCAAAGGAAGAAAACTCCTTGTTAAGATGGCTGACTGTAGTCAGAGGCTGTAGGCCTCCTGTGTTTTGTACTAATTCATCTGTAAGAAGCTCTGTCTGTTCTTAGTGGAAACTAAAGATACCTCTGAATCTCCTTTACAGCAGAATCAAAGAACACAAGCGCTGTCTGCCTGTGCTTTAGCCCTGGTTCACTCCCTTGCTTTTCTGGAAACTTTGCAGAATCTTGGTTTTTTTTATTACACACACACACACACACACACGAGACAGACAGATGTTTTACCTGGGCAGAGGTTCAGGGTAAGTGATATCCATGACTGCACCCTTAATAACACCAGTTTGAAGAGCTTTCAAAAGCATATCTTGTTCTACAACGGGTCCTGTATGGAAATCATAGGATGTGTCCTTAAGACTTTTACAAAGAAGATATCAGTTTATAATACAATTATGGAGAATGCCCTTTTAGAAAACAGAGTAAGTCATCGTTCAACTTGTTCCTATTTCAATATCCAAATTAGGGATTTGTGTGGGTATTGTTTTACAGTAGTATAAATCTCTAGAGTATGTGTCTCCAGTTTTACCCCTTTCATCTAATGAGGCATAAATACCAAAGTGACAAGCTGCCTAAGATTAAATATTCATTCACAGTATATTAATGATGTAATATTATTATGCACTAGCTGTGTTGAAAGCAAATATGACATTGCCACAGTCCAAGGGTTTCCCCTCAAGTTTTAATTTAGGAATACACCATAATTATAAATGTAAGTACGTAAATTCAACTGCATTCATGACAATATGCAAAGTATATTTACCTGATCAAAGTGTTACTGTTCTTTGGAAGACTACGGGATTTTGGTATCAGTAGCTTTGAATGAATCTTTTAACATACCTCTTTCTGACCTACCTCTAGATATATTTATGAGGGTAGCTGTTGGTTTCATCAGCTCCAGCTCCTTTTTTCCAGTCAGTTTGTATGCCTGAGGTGTCAGATTCACAACCAGCATCACAAAATCAGACTGCTGGAGCAAGTCCTCTCTAGGACTTGCTGCAATAGGAGGCACCCACAACCAGTTCCTCTTTTTCTTTCCTAACAGAAAAGCATCACTGACGTCCTGTTCAGCAAGTGATGGTTAACGGAAGAAGTACAGTTTCAAAGCTGGCTACCCCCCATGATGATTACAGTCCAGGTACATTATTTAAGGATCTATCTCCATTGTTTCCTGAAGAAATGGCATCCAGGTTCTTCTACAACTGGCATTGGAGTGCCATAGTCTTCCAAAGACTTGCTTAGACAATCAGAATGAAATCCTTTGTGTGGCTGTCTAAAAATTAGGTTACAACTTGTGGCTAAGAGATCAACTGATTAACCAGATCATTCTTTATTGCAGGGGTGGAGAATCTCTTTCAGCCTAAGGGCTAAATTCTGATTTTATGGATAGGGTACATTCCAACACAGGTAGGGCAAAGTCAATAGGGTGGGGGTCGAAATACCAGCACATTTTAGTGTAAAGGTCTTAGGAGAGACATGTTGGGAAATAGTTTCACTCTGGATCAGCCTTACAACTGGAGTGCCTTATAGCCCAAAGCAGGAGAATTGGAAGGCTGGCTCAACTGTATCACATATGCAAAATGGATCTGGAAGAATCTTGGAAGAAATAACATCTGCTTGGCTATTGATGCACACTCATTAAGACTGCAGTTTGGTTTTATGAAATAATCTTGATAATTAGGGAGTATTACATTTTACAACAGTTAGCTGGCCTTTTAAAGCACAATCAGCTAACCTGTATTCACCACAGTAAACAAAGGAGAGTTAGTTGATCTAAAAATAAAGCAAGGTAGTTCTGGACAAGGTCACCCTCTCCCACTTGTAACCCTCCCATGCTTCTAACCACTTCTTCCATCTTTTTTCATGGAAGAACCATTAAGAAAAATGCAGAACAATGCATTGCAATTCTCTGTGCTTGGACCTTGTGTATGGAAGTCACCCCAGTTAGGTTTTTTTCACTTCTGAAAGGAAGGCACATTTGGGGATAAAAATAACTTCAGATAAAGATGATTCCATATAGAAACATAGAAACAAAGTGAGTTAGAAGGGGCCTCCTGGGCCATCTAGTCTGATTCTCAGCTCCGGCTGGCTCGGCTCATGTAATCCCCAACATGTGGTTGCCCAATCTCTCCTTGAACACCCTCAGTGATGGAGCCTCAACCACCATTCCATATCCATTTCATATGATGAAGGTGTATGTTTTACCTCCTGTTCCTGTTGTGATAAAGAATTTTCATCTCAAATGCCTTCGCTTTCTGAGCAATTCTGTATCCAATGTTGCCCATTCCAATGATACCCAGAGTGGCTCCAGTCACTTCATCTCCTAACCAGTTACTAGCAAAATATTCAGTGTCAGGAGAAACAGCTATCTGGCAACCTGAACAGTTAAGAAATTGGGAACATGCGAAGAGAAATATTAGGAAAGAAAAATAAATTTCTCCAAAAAAAAAAAAAAAAAAAAATCAGAACACTTCTGTCAATTTTTACAGAGACTGTAAAGCAGTGATTATAATTCCAGTGAATTGTAACTTAATGTGAATGAGCTCTGAAATTGTGTCCACATAAGATGCTTGCTTCTTGGCTTCTCCTGCCAGAGGGAACAGTTACGATAACCAGGAATTGAAAGCTTACTGTGTCATTCAAAACAGGCTTTTCACTTGTTGCACCCCTAACAAGTCAGAATTACAAACCAGGGTTTGTTGTGTCTGAACGCAGCTGAACCTGAAGAATCAAAATCAGGCAGGATTATTTCATTATCAAAGGGGTAAAATACTCAAGATGGACTTTCTGCGCTACCGACCACTAATGGTGGTGGAAAATGGCTCTTGCAGAGGAGGTCACTGGTGGGTGAAAGAGGTTTCAATGTTTCTACCTCCCTAGTGATCCATCTCAGGAGAGAGGAGGCTAAAGCTTCCCATCGCTGTGCACAGAGCTGTGTAATGGTGGCTGAAAGAATCTCTCTCTCTCTCTCTCAGCTTGTTGTTCTGAATAGGAAAAGCAATTGGTGGGGAGGAGGGACACTCCAGCCAAACTTAATGTAATGTAGGTCTTGGGTATGTCTGAGAAAGGGAACAAAGGGCTGAGGGTACAGGTTCTGAATGAGACACAGAAAACTGTATATATTTTAATTGTCATTGTTTTAATGTATTTTGTATTCGATGTTGTAAGCCGCCCCGAGGCCTTGGCAAGGGGCGGCATAGAAATGTTTTAATAAATAAATAAATAAAACTGACATTACAGCTTCTCCAAAAGCAAGAGCTTTCTTGGAAAGTAACCTTTCTCTGCTTCTCCTCTGCAGCACTGGATATGACTCCCTGTTAGAGCCTTGAAGCTGTCGTGCCTCCATCTATGCTCAACTTGCATATCTGTAAACAGGCTCAAATATTACAAAGCAGCACAAGTCTCTGGCAACCTCTTTCTAAAGAAAACGGAACTCAGGTATGTGCTGCATCCTTCCAGAGTGAGGCAAGGGTAGCTATATACATGCATTCGCGTGTGCGTGCACACACACTCATAAATGTTACCTTCCAATAATCTTCTAGCAGCTGCCAACAGCAGGGCAATGCCACCCTCTGCAGTGGCACTACAGAGAGCATCAGGAGTACTGGCCATCCTCACTCCAAATCCAGAAATCAGTTTCAAATCCAGGTGATCCATACCCACTTCAGCATTTGCAATCACTTGTAACTTAGGCAGGCACATCAGAAGTTCTTTGTCAATGTCTGGTTTAAAGTACCATAGATAAATAGCTTTGACCTTTTCACTAAAATAGGCTTTGTTTTCAAGGAATTCCTTCATGGTAATAAGGTTAAAGTGTTTTTTCAGAAATGGTAGATGTGCTTCGGAGACACCACGAACTCCACCTATTTCATTTACCAACAGCACCGGCAGTCCTGGTTCTTCCATCATCTGCAAAAGGAAGACAAACTAATTTCCCCCCAAATATTTAAAAGCATTAGAGAATAATACAACAAAATATAGTGGACAATACCTTATTTGCCACTAGTGCCAATAAGGTTGCACTAGCATCATAAGCAACCTCCACTACAATGCCAATAACATCTTTTCTGTTGCTGTTTCATTAGCAGTCAGTCATGCTAGAGCAACTTGGATTGTATCAGTGCTAATGCTGAATAGGCCACTGTCCAGTATGTGTTGGCCAAATACATCTATAACTAAATAATAAAGCAGAGTAGGTGTACAAAACCAGGAAAAGCATAAATATATCAAGGACCAGAAAGCCCTCCTTCTGAATCAGTAAGAGACTTCACAAAACCCAGTCCTTAAAACCATCAAGTCTTGCACAAGAACACACGCAACATCAAGTCTACTATCATTCCTACTGATCATCAATAAAGTAATTATTTCACAAAGAAAAGCCTGTTTAGCAACTGTGCAGAAAGTCTGTTGATGAAAGAGATCATTTAAAATATCATGCAAAACTTAATGTTGACCTTTAAATACAAGTTACTTTTAAAACTTACTCACTAGCCAAGAATCCAGCCTTTAAAGCCTTTTGCCCAATTTTAACAGAAGAATTTGATATATGTTTAATTCTCTACAAGTAAGCAGAGTATGACTTTGCCCGGATTGTATCCTTTAATACATCTGCAGTATACTGCAAATAAACCTTATTGTTCCTTTACTGAATTTTAATATCCTTAATGGATTTTAATCTCAACATTACCTTTATGAAATTGTCCAGATAACTACAATGTTAAAAAAAGCCTAAGAATTGTGCAAAAATGGTGAGAAGCAGAGAACAGCAAATCTGTTTAAGTAGAGTGATTGTTTGTAGCACTGCTACATTAGTTCTTTAAGTTGTTGCTGAAATATGTTAGCAAGCCAGGTTAATATTTGAAACTGTAGGTTATTATTTGAAAATATTGTTTCATTAATGAAGTCAACCTTTTGCTTCACATAAGACATTTAAGACCAGAGTCAGGCAACTGAGAGCAGTCACCACTATAAATTCAAAACCAGAAACTGGCAACTTCACCAGAAAGTTCAAAATACAAGAGAAGCTTGTGTGGCTGCTGCTTCATTAGGAAAAGACACATTGCCTCATGTAACCAGCACTATCAGGAGACAGCATCAAACTGGGTTGTTGTTATTTTAAGATAACACATTTTCTACAAGCAGCTGGGATTGATATGTCCTAGATATGTCCTTCCAATCTTGTGGGATGTGGGACAGTGGGGCACCTTCAGGAATTTGCTTCTGCATTGTTCCATTTTGATTTTTTAAAGTCCACTCTCTTAGCCTTGGATTGGCCTGATGTATTGGCCTGTTCTATAGACAGGAGAAAGACAACTGCAGTGTTACTACTTTAAAACACATAAACAATAAAACATAGTCTTCAAAGTCGGGAGAAAAAAACACCTAGTGTATATTAGGTTATAAACCTATGCTTAATAGGTTATAAAAACATACACCATCTTGGTAGTCCCTTTTGGGGCTACCTACATGCTGCATATATTTCATGTATGCCTGAATAAACTGTAAATGTTATTTTGACTGCAGACTCCCAGCATGCCTGCGTTCACTGTTTCTTGACATTCACCAGATATATCACCTGCAGCAAGACTGGGCACTGGCTACCACCTCTAAAAAACAATTGGAAGAGCTAAGAAATAAGTTAAGGGAATCTCAAAAATAGCAAGCCATGCCTTCGATCTGAGAATTGAGCATCCAAAGAGACTGACAATCTAATGTAGACTTACATGAGATACCCAAGTCCTTGGAAAACAGAAGTCAAAGGGCTAATATCCACATCAGAGGCCTGAGAGAGAACATGGAAGGAAGGAATACAACAGAATACCTCATAAAATATATCAAACTAACTCCATTTATTTATTTATTTATTTATTTAAACATTTCTAAACATTTATTTAAACATTATTTAAACCTTGCCGAAGCCTCGGGGCGGCTCACAACATCGAATAAAATACACGATAAATTAAAACAATAACAATTAAAATATATACAGTAGAATAAAATAAGCTGCCCTGGCCAAATAAAATTCAATAATATTAACATTTAAAATGCTGCTTAAATAAAAAGGTCTTTGCCTGGCGCCGAAAAACAAATAACGACGGCGCCAGGCGGACCTCTCTGGGGAGCGCATTCCATAACTTAGGCGCCACCGCTGAGAAAGCCCTCCTCCGAGTAGCCACCCTCCTAATTTCCTTCACTGAGGGCTCCCGGAGGAGGGCCTCTCCCGCTGATCTCAGGGGGTGGCTGGGCATATATGGACGTAAGTGCTCCTTCAGGTAACCAGGACCCAAGCCGTTTAGGGCTTTATAGGTCATCACCAACACCTTGACTTGGGCCCGGACTTCAGTGGGAAGCCAGTGAAGCTGACGGAGGACTGGAGTCATGTGAACATAATGCCCAGTCCCCGTCAGCAACCTGGCAGCTCTATTTTGAACCAATTGAAGTATCCGGACCGTCTTCAAGGGTAGCCCCATGTAGAGCGCGTTACAGAAGTCAAGACGGGAAGTCACCAGTGCATGAGTCACTGTTGCGAGGCAGTCGTACTCCAGATAGGGGTGCAGCTGATGAATCAGCCGAAGCTGGAGGAAAGCGTTCCTCGCCGCTGCTGTTACCTGAGCTTCGAGTGAAAGCTCCGGGTCGAGGAGCACTCCCAAGCTGCGGACCTTATCCCTAGGAGGGAGTGCAACCCCGTTCAGGACAAGGTTCAATTCACCTTCTCCGAAGCCTGAACTGCCTACCAACAGGACCTCCGTCTTGTCTGGATTGAGCTTCAGTTTATATTGAAAGGGAGCACAATGCCTAATTTTTGTAATCCACCCCCAGTAGCTAGGCTTGCAATGTAAAAACTTGGTTATCCAAGCACTCTTGAAAAAAGGCAGCATACCATTTTGGAGGCAGTCTGAACACAAGGAAAATTGGGGCATGATGGAAGAGGGTTCAGCAACACTACACAGCGCAACTCTAGAAGGCAGGACTCGGTTATAAATGGGGATACCGCTTTAAATTACTGTGCACAAAGAATGGAAAATTCTCATTGCATCAATGAAGAAAGAAGCAGCCCATGTCGTGATTACATTTAATTAGAGCCTGGCAACCCCCACCCAGACAATGAAGAAGACACATCAGTCCCTGACAGGAGGCAGCCTAAATGGGAGCAGGCAAAGAAAAAGTGCTGAGAACAAAGTAGCAAAGGATACTGTCTGACTCACTGATCTGATGAATGTAAACAAACACTATAGCTAAGGCTGCTTACATTGACAGTAAGATAAAATCAGACCAGTTGTTTGCAGATATCTTGCCATGGTTTCGCAAGGATAAAGAGAACAATGGCACTTGTGAATGCTCCCTACCAAGGTAGTTTAGTTCTTACAGCAATCAAGGCAAGGAATCCCAAGACAAATGAGGAGCCCCCACCATAACAAGCTTAGCTCCCAACAACAGGCCCTGTGCAGGTGGAGAGTCCATAAGTGTAATGCACAGAGCCCATGATGAAGAACTGGAAGATCTCCAACAATGAGGAAGGGACACTTAGATCATGCTAAGTGGCTGGTTTTGAATATTCTTCTAGAAGAGGTGCACAGATGTTTATTGTGGATGATGTTCCAGGACATCAAGTTGATTTATGGTGACCCTATGAATGAATCCCCTCCAAGATGTCCTGTCCTTGACAGCCCTGCTCTGTTCTTGTAAACTCAAGGCTGTGGCTTCCTCTTGATCCATCTCATATTGGTTCTTCCTCTTTTTCTTCTGCCTTGAATTTTCTCTAGCATTATTTTCTTCATCTCGTGAGCTTTCTCATGACGTGCCCAATGTACAACAGCTTGTTTTGCCATTTTTGCTTCCAGGGAAAGTTCTGGCTTGATTTGCTCTCAGACGCACTTGTCTTTCTGTTAGTGCAGGCTATTTGCAAATCTCCCTTTCAGGACCATGTTTCAAACACTTCCATTTTCTTGCTGTCAGCTTTCTTCACTGTCCAGCTTTCACACCCATACATAGCAAATGGGAATACAATAGTGTGGATGATCTTGGGCTCAATCAGACATGTTCTGGTACATACTGAACAGATTAGCAAGTATCACACACCATTGTCTGAAGCCTTTGCCTATAGAAAGCCATTCTGTTTCTCCTTACTCTATCCCAACAGTAGCTTATTGTCCACAATGCAGGTTACCCATCAGGACAATCAAGTGCTCAGGCACACCCATTTCTTTCAGAACCATCTACAGTTTCTTGTGATCTACACAAAGCCCTAGTCGTGGTGCATATACGTAGCATAGAGTGATCTGAAATTCTCTGGGGCACTCCAGTGGCCAACATATGTTTACAATATGATCTTCAGTGCCTCATCATTTTCAGAATTCAGTTTGGATGTCAGGTGTTTCTTTCTCCATATAGACACTTCCCTTTTAGCTTTCCTCAAGCCCACCAGCTCAGTGAAGCCACTGCTCCTGTCCTCAGGACAGTACTCCATGTTATGCATACAATTAAATACATCCCCCCACTACCCTCTACCCCTGCCAGTTGTAACTGGTCTGCTGAAATCTGGGATATAATGGCAGAAATGGTGCAAGGAGGATAGCTTGGGATGAGTGCCATATGGCACATCATTGAAATAGGCATTGCAATCCTGGTAAAAATACCTAGTGATAATCACCTCCAGTAGATAATATCCTTTAATGTAACAAAACAACTATTCAAGAGAAATGGGCTAAATTGTACCAGCAAGGTCCAATGAAATTCATCTCTGAAAGATTTATTATTAAGGTTCTTCAAGGGTACATCAGAGTCTCTCATTGTTGGGAAGACTGTTACATTTACAAAAATATTTTACCAAGTGCTGCGGGAGGCATGATGAAATAGACACAGCCTTTCATACATGACGCCAGGAAACTAGTTTTGGAAAAAGGTGTTTGAGGAGGATGCTTTAATCACAGATCAAATGATTTGTATCTCCTTGACGGAGGGCTTATTTCCATTCAATTACAACAGTAACAGCAACTACAAATGAAAAGAAGGCTATTTGAGGATTGTGCTGGGTAGCAGCTAGCATGAAATTCACAAGGAGCTAGCAGAGCTTTCAGTCCAGCTATTGAACAATGAAACTCAGATTATAGCTGATAACCCTAATGCAGAAGTTAACCAACACACAAAGGAGATACAGAAATACGCAACTTCAACAGAGACGCCACACCTGACTCCTGCCATTGCATGCATAAGAGCCCCTGAGTTCAGAGGTGTATGTGCATCTAGCACTGAGTTGATAGGATTGCACACTTAATGTACTGTTAATTTAAACCACCAATAAAACACGTTTTTTTAAAAGATGAAAGGCTGAACGAACCCAAAACTAGGCCAAGGTGCTGGGAAGTCTTGAAGCCAATGGTATTATTTAAGTAATAATGTAAGTCCAGAAAATATAGAAGTGAATATACAAAAACGATGATAGAAATGGGTTGTTTTGACATAGTTTTATTGCATTGCTTCTTAGAGGTTAATCTCCTTTTGCTGACTGGCCATTGGTTATGCATATTCACCATCTGATCATTGGGGGTTCACTTCACTAGGTGCAGGGAGATCACTGAGAACAGCCAGTATGTTTTCTACTGCTTCTTCAGTCATCATACGCAGGGCTTGCACAGTAGCAGTTCCAATGTGAGGAGTTATAATGACATTCTTCAATTGCAGTAGTGAGTGGTCTCTGTATGGAGGGCAGGACAAAATATTTAGTGGTCACTTGGCACAGGGAGATCAGCTGGAAGGCAACACTGTCAGATTGCTCTGTAAAAGCCTCCTAAGCAGAAAAGGGCATGTTGGCTCCCACTCCTTTCTTCTAAACCAGTCCCCCTCTGTGGGACTGTGGGTAGCCAACAGAAACTGCAACCAGATCCACACCATAAGGAGTCACAAAAAAAGCAAAGGTAACCGTGTTGGTCATGAAAAAATGCAAAATCTTATTAGGGCAATACCTTTACTAAGCCAAGTTAGAGATTACAAAAATGCACAGCCCTATATGATAGCCAGATAGCTTCATGGGCAGTTAAGGTCTGAATTCAGAGCACACGTCCTTGTCAGAAGTGCAGATCAAGGGTATCTGATGTGCTACAAAGAGACATTGCACCTCTGGCTCTGCATTTCTTCTTGGACATCCCACTGCCAGGAGTGGAGGGATGGGACCAGCCAGGACACTTCAGTTAGTCCAGTGCCACAGCCTCCTCTACTGGGGCCTTTCCCAAAGGGGTGATCATGGAAGGCTATCAGCATCCGCTGACATCCCTTGAACCCTGCAAGCAACGTCTTTAAGGTCTGATCCACTTACAGGGTGGCCCTGCCAGGAAGGTAGTTGGACATGAATTGCTCATGATTAATGCAGGATAAAGGTTTCTGTATTCTTTTACCTGGGTAGTGGTTCAGGCTCTGTCACATCCAAAGCTGCAGCCCTAATAACTCTGTTTTGGAGTGCATCTACTAAGGCATCTTGATCAACTACTGCACCTAATGGAAAGGAAAGTTTGACATCAAGGATCAAGACAAAGGAGGCAGAGGGACCCCGAGGCTTCAGCGAATAGGGTGGCCTAGAAATTTTCCAAATAAATAAATACATACATACATACATACATACATACAAGCCTGCCTGTTCAGTTCTAAGCATTTTCACTAGGAGGCAAATGGCACTGCGCTCTGTGGCATTTATTCCCAACATATGGTTGGTGCTGTAGAACAATTTTTAGGAATCAACAGCCTTTTCACACCATCTTGCCAAGCCTCTTCATTTATTTTTCTAAAAACAACTTTATGAAAAGACTTGTTAACCTCTTTACTTTGCAAGAGCCCCATTATGGTTAAAACAAAGCTATCCCAGAATAAGTGGGATGTAGAATCTGTATACACTGCTCTTTCTTCCATGTACAACTGGATTAGAGAATTACAAAATTCATGGATGTGCTAACTGCAATGTGACCACAACCATTCTAACTTTACTGAGCTTTCTTTTCTTGTATACTACTGAATAGATGCACACCAAAAGCATGCTAAAAGCGTCATAGTAAATGGGGCTTTGAAGGCAGCAAAGGAATGTTTCATATGTTGGGTATTTGGAACCCAATCCTGAGGTATAAAATACAACTATACAGCATTGTTTATGACTGCAGCTCTTACTATCAAAACACATAGAGGCAGGATACAAACAACTTGGGTATTTTGTGAAAAAAGAAAACAAAAACAGTGGAGACATACATAAAAACATATGTGCACCATCCATCCAATTTTGGGAAAATTATATATTTATATACATACATGATGTTTATGAAGTTAACTTGAATAGTACATGAACTTGGTGGATTGTTCAAGAATTATGGCCAAAGTGTCTAACACACACACACAACTTACAGCATGTGCCTGCACATGTTAATCCAGAAATAACTTTCAGGTAAGTGCTACGTGGCTACATTATTAAGAACATTTCCAGTTTATATGTAACAACAACCCAGAGTTTGAATCCATGGTTTTATTGGTGGGTTGAAATTCTGGGTCGTTTGACTCCTAACAACCCAGAGAATCAGGCTTCAAGGTCATGATTAACAAACAAGTTGTTCTTGGGTTGTGGCAGAAAGTGGATATAACATGAAAGCAGCAAACAGGCAAGAGGCAATGCACATATTCACTCATGCCAATTCATGGGTTTTTATCACATTCGTTTTTGTTATGTACACACCAGGTTTTTCTGTCTTATTGGCTATTTCTTAATCTACACTGAAAAGCAACATAATTAAAGTACTTTGCTATCATGTACATCATGACTTTTTAAAAATGGCAGCGATTTATTAGGTTATGAGAAACTAAGTACTGCAAATATTTACATTAGGACGTAAGTAAGAAAACAGTTTCCTGTGGACAAAGGGTAAGTATGGACACCTCCCTGGAGAGGTTTCCTCACCATATGTTTGGATTCAAGGGTACTCTTGATTCTGGACTCTAAGAACTGTTGGACTTGCACTTTATTTTATGAATGAGAATCATTTTACAGATGATGGAATGTATGCAACATTGTTGTTGTTTCATTGTTGTTTAAAGTACCAGCTATCATAATTTAACAAGTGTACATTTTGGTAGTTGTATCTCGTACCTCTGCAGATGTTGATAAGAGTAGCAGTGGGTTTCATCATCGCTAGCTCCCTTTTCCCAATGAGTCTGTGAGTCTCAGGTGTCAGATTCACAACCAGCATCACAAAGTCAGACTGCCGCAGCAAGTCTTCCATGTTTTTACAATAAATGGCACAAACTGTTTGCTCTTCTTCCTCTTTTCTAAAAGAAATAGATGTGGGAATAATCACTTGCACTATTACATTACATTTCTATACCGCCCATAGCTGAAGTTCTATTGGTACCTTACATTTTAAGTCACCCATCCATGTTTCAATCAGGCCTGACCCTGCTCAGCTTCCAAGATTAGGCAGGATCAGGCACTTCGGACTATACAAAAACAATTGTACACTAGTGACTTTCAGTGCTGGAGTTGCTTATTCCATATGGATATCCATATTTTAAGCAGGAAGGCAGCATTTCAGGCTGCTGCACCATAACCCATTCAGTATAATGTATATGTGCACAGCTGTGCTTCTCCTTGCATGGTGCTACAAGCATTCTCTTATTCCAAAAAGAGCAACCAAAGGGCATTGCTAAAAGACGATGTTTGACAGCAGCACCCAGTAAGCTGTAGGAGCAACTTCTCTAGAAATTACTGAAAAGCCTGCACAGACTGGGGTTCTTTTAAGAAAGGAAGAGTAAACACAATGCAGCTTTTCACCTTTTGCATTTATGCACCAATGTGCGTGTCTCAAACGGTAGTTAACAGGAGAGGGTCATGGCAAAGTCTGAGAAATCCTGATTTACGTTTTAGTTTTTCAATAATTTTTTAAAGAAAAAGTAGAATATAGAAATAGAAAAGGGATATCAAGGGATCTTACACAAATATTACATATGATATCAAGATCAAAACTTGCACAGAAAATTACCAATTGTTATCTCTTCTACATCCAGTTTAATTAGTACTTAATTTAAACTCATAGAGTAATTATTCTAATTTATAATTCTTAATATGAACTTATTTTTAATTCCTTTTAATTTTAAATAACAAAGCATTTATATTAAAATTATAATTTTTACAAGCTCCATTTTCAATATTAAGTAAATTGTATATAATAAGCTTTCCATTTATGTTTTAGGTTTGAAGGGTGGTTGGATCAGTTGATCTGTCATGACTGTCCTGCCACACAGAAAGGCAGCATATCCTTAAAAATCACCAGCTTTCCACTTCAGTTTGCAAATACTAACAGGAAGAGTCATGCTACAGTGACTTTTCCACATTAAAGATGGACATGAGAAAGGGTACAAAGGTTTTACAATGGATGCCTCTTTTTTGGCCCTGCTTGCATTCAATATTCATGATCATAATAAGATAATTCAAGGAGCTACTTCTGCTTTTAAAACACAAACTCCAATGCACAATGATTTGTTTCTAACCATTTTGCATTTCCAATTCTTGAGAGAACCTGGTGAATAAGGGTTATACGAGGGATAAGCAACCCTCATTTAACTCTAGAATAGACCATGGCTTATGCAAGGAAAATAACCTGCACTTGCTGGATTTGCATGACACACAACCTCCAAGTAAGAATTGTATAGAGAAAGTGGTACCTGGAAGTTAAATAGCTCATGACAGTCTGTCATACTGTATGTTACCAGATGTTACAGAGCCTCCATCTCTCTCACGGGTCTTCCGGTCCCTTTGAGACCAGGGCTGGAGTGCCTCTACTTGGTGTTGGGCGAACGAGACAGATTGGGGATTCTATTGGTGTACCGTGCACCTTTCTGCCCAGCAGTCTCCCTATCTGAGCTGACAGAGACCGTCTCGGACCTGGTGTTGAGGACCCCCAGGATGTTGGTCCTGGGGGACTTCAATCTCCATGCCGAGTCTGGACTGACCGGGGCGGCTCAGGACTTCATGGCCTCTATGATGGCCATGGGCCTGTCTCAACACGTCACTGGCCCTACCCATGAATGTGGACACACTCTGGACCTGGTATTCACGACGGGGCAGGTAGAGGATGACCTGAGGGTGAAGAACTTATGTTTGACTCCCCTGTCATGGTCAGATCACCTCCTGGTGAGGTTTGTGCTCGAGAGCAGCCTCTCCCTCTATAAGAGTGCGGACCCGATTGTATGGGCCCGCCCCCGGAGCCGGATGGATCCGGATGGATTCCTGGGGGCCCTGGGGGAATTTCCGGCTGACAAGACTGGTGCTCCTGTCGAGGCTCTGGTCGAACTGTGGAACGGAGAGATGACCAGGGCTGTGGACACAATCGCCCCTAAGCGTCCTCTCCCACCGGGCAGAGTCCGCTCTTCCCCTTGGTATACACCTGAATTACGGGCGATGAAGCGAGTTGGGAGACGGCTAGAGCGTAGGTGGAGGAAATCACGGGATGAATCTGACCGAACACACTTGAGAGCCCACTATCGGGCCTATGCTGTGGCGGTGAAGGCGGCGAAAAAGAAGTTTTTTTCTGCTTCCATTGCCTCCTCACAATGCCGTCCAGCGGAGCTTTTTCGAGTGGTGCAAGGCCTGGTTCGCCTGGGTCCTAAGGAAGATCCGATGCCACCCTCAAAGGCCCGCTGTGACGACTTTGCCAGGCATTTCAGGGAGAAAATCGCTCAGATTCGTCACGAGCTGGACTCCACTAATGAATCAGAGGTCTCTGAGGAGTCGCCAATGCCACCGTCTGGTCCAAAATTACTGGAGGAATTTCAATTATTGCGGCCCAATGATGTGGACAAGGTGCTTGGAAGAGTACGTCCCACCACGTGCCTATTGGATCCTTGCCCGTCTTGGTTAATAAATAACTCCAAGCACGGGATTGGGACCTGGATTTTGGAAGTGGTTAACGCTTCTCTGAGGGAGGGTCGAGTGCCTGCCCCTTTAAAGGAGGCGGTAATACGACCGGTCCTGAAGAAAGCGTCACTGGATCCAGAGATGGCCACTAACTATAGACCTGTGGCCAACATCCCGTTTCTGGGCAAGGTGCTGGAGCGAGTGGTGGCGGGACACCTCCAAGCACTCTTGGAGGAAACTGATTATCTGGATCCTTTTCAGTCCGGCTTCAGACCCGGGTACAGTACTGAATCTGCCTTGGTCGCCCTGTACGACAACCTGTGCAGGGAGAAGGACAGGGGGAGTACATCCCTGTTGGTTCTTCTGGACCTCTCGGCGGCTTTCGATACCATCGACCATGGTATCCTTCTGGATAGACTTGCGGGATTGGGGGTTGGAGGCACTGCTTTGCAGTGGTTCTGCTCCTATCTCGACGGTCGATTCCAGAAGGTAGTGCTGGGGGACCATGTCTCTACGTCATGGCAGCTATGCCATGGGGTACCACAGGGCTCCATTCTATCCCCTCTGCTATTTAACATCTATATGAAACCGCTGGGAGAGGTCATCAGGAGGTGTGGGCTGCGGAATCATCAATACGCTGATGATACCCAGCTTTACCTCTCATTCTCCACTAATCCAGGTGAGGCAGTGGCTGTGCTGAACCGGTGCTTGGCCAAGGTAAGGGAATGGATGAGGGCCAATAAACTGAAACTCAACCCAGACAAGACGGAGGTCCTGTTGGTTGGCGGATCGGGTTTCGGAGAGGGTGGATTTGACCTGGTCCTGAATGGTGCAACACTCCCTCTTAGGGATAAGGTCCGCAGCTTAGGTGTACTCCTCGACCCGGAGCTTTCTTTGGAAGCTCAGGTGACAGCGGTAGCGAGGAACGCCTTCCTTCAGCTTCGGCTGATTAATCAGCTGCGCCCCTACCTGGAATACGACTGCCTGGCGACGGTGACACACGCGCTGGTGACTTCCCGCCTAGACTTCTGTAACGCGCTTTACGTGGGGCTTCCCCTGAAGACAGTCCGAACACTTCAATTGGTGCAAAATAGAGCTGCCAGGTTGCTGACGGGGACGGGGCGTTATGCTCACATGACTCCAGTCCTCCATCAGCTTCACTGGCTTCCCATTGAAGCCCGGGCCCAATTCAAGGTGTTGATTATGACCTACAAAGCCCTAAACGGCTTGGGTCCTGGCTACCTGAACGAGCGCTTACGTCCGTATATGCCCGACCGCCCTTTGAGATCTGCGGGAGAGTCCCTTCTCCGGGAACCCTCCATGAAAGAAATTAGGAGAGTAAGTACCCGGAGGAGGGCTTTCTCTGCGGTGGCGCCCAACCTATGGAATTCACTCCCCAAAGAGGTCCGCCTGGCACCGTCGTTACTGGTTTTTCGGCGCCAGGTAAAGACCTTTTTATTTAAACATCATTTCAATTGTTAAAACATATGATCTGGCCTGGGCAACTTCTTCTTCCTTCTCTTTCTCCTCCTATATTTTTATTTTATACTGATAATTTTAATTTTGTATTTGTAAATCAATGTATTTTTTGTATTGTTATATTTAATGGTAATTTATTATGTACTATTGTATTTCAATGTAGTTTATCATGTTGTAAGCCGCCCCGAGGTTTCGGCAAGGGGCGGCATAGAAATGTTATAATAATAATAATAATAATAATAATTTACCTGTAACTAATAAACATTATGTGACTATAACATATACTCTGAACTCACATTTACCTACGATTCCTGTTATGATAGAGAATGTTCATGTCAAATGCTTTCGCTCTCTTGGCCACTTTATAGCCAATGCTGCCCATCCCAATGATACCAAGGGTGGCTCGTGTGACTTCCACTCCTAGCCAGTCAACAGCAAAATGTGTAGTATCTGGAGATGTTGCAATACAACAACCTAATAAACAAACCAGCAAACACAGAAAGTTATGGTAAAACTTGAAACAGCCAAGGGCTTGCTCTGTCTTGAAGAACCATTACAAAAGAAAATCACTTTACCTTCTACTAGTCTTCGGGCAGATGCCAACATTAAGGCCATACCAATGTCTGCTGTGGAGTCTGAAACAGCATGTGGAGTGTTGGTTACTTTTACTCCAAAGCTAGAAATCAGTTTCAGATCCAAATGATTCACTCCTACTCCAGAGTTTCCAATCACCTTTAGGTTGGGCAGCATTTCAAGAAGCTCCTTATCAATGAGAGGCCTGCGCTCAAATACAAAAATGGACTTGATCTTTTCATGCAGAACTTTGCTGTTGTGAAACTCCTTTATGGTGATGACATTAAAGTGTTTCTTGAGGAACTCCACATGGCTTTCCGGGACACCAAATGCACCTCCTATGTCAAAGACCAAAATACCCGGTAGCTCTTTTTCTCCCATATTCTGAAAGAAAGGACAAAGAGAAATGTTCATCTTAAAACAGAAAGAAAGATTCAAGAATCCCTGTTTGTATATATGCAGTAATGTAAAGTTTAGAAGAATGTTGCACAAATTCCAACATTAGCATGGCTGGATAGGGAAAGCTGTGGGTTTTTTTCTGTCTAAACATGCATAGGATTGTAACAAAGGTCTGCCAAGGTTTTCTTTATTTATACTCAGTTAAGAGCCCCAGACAAAGGAGGATTTAATTCTAAAAACACTTCTGTGCAACAGAGCCTGACTTTTATATGTTAACATGTAGCTACCCTTGGTAAAAGGACAGCAGTAAGACACTTGTTGGAATTGTGCAGTTGTGTCTATCACATGTTAGGGATGGTGAACCTCTGGCGTGCAAACTGAATTTAGTCCATGCCAGAACAAAATAAGCAAAAGCTCTCCCATAATATGGCTACTAAAAGCCTGATACTGTAAGAACTGCTTTAGATTTATGATGGGATTCCTGATCTGATCAGGAATTCAAGGTACAAGTCTTGCTTCCCTCATACACCTTAGAAATACAAATGGGTTTGTCCTTTGGGAGCACACCTTGGGCATGCTAACGTTTGCCTGTCCTGAAGGTACTTCTCTTTGCATTGTCTTAATCCCTATTGTTTTACCCAAATTTGCCCCTAGCATACTGTGTCTATGACCCCCCACCCTCCTCCAACTATGTATGTAACTGATAGGTTATAAAGGCATATTGTACAGACGTCATCCTGGCTGTCCCTTCAGGGTCTACCTATATGCTGCATCTATTTCCTGTACGCCTGAGTAAACTGTGTTCTATTGATGGTACACCCCTAACACACCTGCTCTTCCTGATTTCTCTCATCATTGATCAGGCCTCTCCTTCTGACCTGCAAGGCACTCCCTGAAGTCTCTCCAAGAAGGCAGTGAATAGATGCTTGTGTTAGGATCCATAGTGGTGAAGTGCCAGAAGTACCGTGAAGAGACAGTGCCCAAGTCTCACCTGAGCTGCTATTTCAAGGAGTTCCTTATTACCACCATCCTTAGGTGGTGGTTCACTCAGCTTTGCTTGGCCCTTGCCTTTTCCATCAGGAGGAAGTCCTGAGAGGTAGTTCACTGGGATAAACAAATGGGTAGAGTGTGGTGAAAGGAGCTTTAAACTCCCCACCCCTCCATTTCCTCGCTCTTGTGCTGCTGCACATGTACATGTGGGTGGTATGTGTGGGTAGGAACGGTGTGTGTGCGCGAAAGAGGCAGAGGGGTAGCGGGATGGTCATAGTCCCAGCTACTTGGGGCTGTGGCTCTCCCTCAGCACAGGCATGGCTTCAGGCCAAAACAGGTTCCCTGCTGCAACTGTGAAAGGGAACTGCCCTCTTCTTGGAGCAGGCAGGCGGACTTGTCTCTGACATTTAGAAATGCTTCCTGTTGCTTGATCTGCCCTTTATCAGCAGTTCTAGTTCTGAAAGTGGGAGCTGCTGCTACATAAAGATGCAGAAGTGCCAATAGGGCAAACATAACCCAAGTTTAATACATTGTCAATGTGCAGAAAAAGAAAGGATGGCTTTTCCCATCCTAACATAGAGCACACTGCTTTGTACAATCTCTCAGAAAAGTGCCATATTCATAATAACTTAAAAATAGTCCAGTCAGAGGGATGCTTTTGTTAGAGGGCTGGGATAGCAGGCCAAGAAACTAAATCCTGTCCCCTAAAATGGGAGCGCTTTCCTTCATGCCTTCTCCACAGCCCCAAGTCTTTTGGGACAGAGTAAGAAGACTCCTCAGAAAGCTCTCTTTGGCTCAGAAACTACCAGCTGTTGACCCTCGGTGTACAATTGTCTTAGCTGATTCCTGCATGTCTCTATTCTGATTCCACCACAGGTTCAACTCAGACTTACAGCAGCAATCTTGAAGTAGGTGAAACAGCTTCCTCCTACAAAGCCATTGCATGGAATCTAGATTATCCATCCATCCATTTTTCATTGTAATATTTATGTTACCTAATGGTAATTTTTTTGTAATGTCCACCCAAGGAGCGTGATGCTAATGGGTGGCCTTTAAACAAACAAATATAAATAAAAACAATAGGAACAAATGTGATTTTATTAACATATATTAATACATAGTAAATATATAGTCCTGAAGGGATATTGAAGCAGTATAGAAGTTCAATAAATATGTATTATCATGAAATAAATTTACAAGTTAACCCAGGAAGGTTTTTGCAAGACTGTTTTTTTTTTTTTTTTCCTTTCTGGTACTAACCTTGGCCTTGTAAACACTTAGTCCTATTTCCCCACTGCCCTTTTGACCAGTTTGGTAGCCGTGCACAGAAGTCTTGTCGTTTTTTGCCCACTTAAACCAACTCCTATCAGCTGATTGCACCGGGGCAGCAGCCGAGTGAAGAGATTGTACAAAGCAAAAGTTTCTATCTCTGAGAAAATTCCACAGTTTTAGATGCTTAAAAACAATGTGTCGACAACACCTGTCCAAGAAAAAAACAATTTCAATTTGAGATAAGTTGTAAACATTTTAGTAGTTCCTGGATAATGGTGCTCTAAGATATAGATTCCATTTTCTGTTTCAACTTGGTAGATTCTAGAGTACTTAAACAGTAAACAAGATAATACTCATAAACTATTGGTAAATATTTACCATTGTAGAAACATTTGTTTTTGGATATAGAGCTTGTAATGCCTACATTTCCCCCCACTAAAAAACCATCTTTCTGAAGAAGCCAGCAGTAAGTTCATCAGAAGAAATTATTTTGACAGACTTTAAAGGATAAGACTAAGATGAATGGCAGTTTCCTCTACAACTGGCTTACCAATTCTGGCAGACTAATAGATTAAGTTTACACACTTCCTGGGCCTTGCTGCACATGCTGTGTATAGATGATACTGTCCTATTTTTCATCATGCTTCCAAGATCCTTTTGCTGGCTTGATTCTGCTGGAATGCAGTTCAGCTATATATGCACATACTGTATCTGTTCCCTCTGCAATGCCAGTTCACACAGCAGAAATATATTTCTAACAAGGTCTTCTAGCTTTATTCCCACTATCCAGACAGCAGCAGTATCTAAAAGCTCCCTTTTCTTATTGTACAGAGGATTCCTTACAATATCATGCTTCTCACTCTCCAAAATGAAGTCATAGAAGTATTTGGGGTTTAGTAGTTCATAGGTAGAGAACCTTTTTGGGCTGTGGACACATTTTGCAAATTTAAACATCTTTCATGGACCCCAACACAAAATGGTTGCAATGACTGCATGGCTAAGCATGATGGGGAAGTAACCCATCTAAAAAACATAAAGCAAATTTAGGCTATGAGCCTCAATGCATTAGACAGTTCCTTTTAACCCACAATTTTCAGAAATAACAGAAATCCATTTCACAGAAATCTCAAATGCCAATAATAATTAAATGATTTTTAAAAACAAACAGACGGCACCTGGCAAACATCCAGAAAGGCAGCCAAGGGAAGCATTCCATTCCCTAGCATGGAGCTGTCTGAAACACTGGTGGCTATGCTTGCTTTGCTGTGTCTGAACTAGAGAAATATTGTGGGAAAGCCATTATTGGCTTACTTCCCATAGCATGTTTCCAGGCTGTGCATATGATGCATGCATGAATTAGATGCCTAAATGTATGCAGGTGACCCACTCATGCATAAAAGAAGATGTATGCTAAGGCTGCTATCCTAAATACTTCCCTGGGGAAAAGTCCTGCCAAATTCAGTGGGGCTTACCTGAGAGTAGACATGCAGAGGATTGCACTGTAAGCCTGTAACCTTAAATCAATTTATTTAGGACCAAAGGCCATTGAACAGAGTGGGTCCTACTGCTGAGTAAACATGCTGAGAATGTACTGTACCTCTCTGCTGTATAAATGATGTGTGAAGGGCCCTAAACCTGTAAGAATAAACATAAAGTAATTTTAAACAGCAGCAGGGACTATACTCTTTTTTTATGAGGTGGGCATTGGTTGTCATTCAGCTGTGGGATATTGTGTTGTCTAAACCCAACTACAGTAACAAACCATGACTGACACATAAAGAGACCCCCCCCCCTTTTTTTTTTTGCAGGATGGTGAACTGGTTGTTCACCATGGTTTTATTTCATCTAGGCTCCGACAACACAATAACCCATTTTTCAACAACAACGGTTCAGTAACAACCCACACTCAACCTATACTAAGTTACTGACTTATCGTGTTGTCTGAACCCATATATATCCTTCCTGGTATGTAGCACCATGTCTACTAAGAAACAAGAGGTGACAGCAAAGACAGGATTTAATCTACCCTTTAGTTCAGGTTTTATTTTGTGAGGAAAAGATACTTTTTTAAGGCACAAAGCACTTCCAGAGGACTCCTAGTGCTACAAATCAAAACTCATTGTGGACCATTCTGTCTTTACCTGTTTAATGGATTGTGTAAACTGGATTGTGCAAAATGCCCAGAAAGCTTTGACTGTAGGGCAATATAGAAATGAAATAATAATAGTAATGGTTTATCAGGTAAGAGAAAAGAGGGAAGAAATCATGAGAAAAAAATGGAAAGACTGCAAGTGAAAAATGCTGTCTAGATGCTCCCCCTAATGCCTTAATTGCAACCATGAAATAAGCCAATTGTGTGATAGAAGCCTCATCTCGAAGCATGCAAATAGTCTTGTGGTACCTTATAGACCAATTTTTAAAGATTTCAAAACGTGCTTTACAAATGACAACGTCGTACCTTATTGCAGATTAGTGAGCTGCGGCGAGAGGCTAATGAAAGTTCTGCAGTTCAGTTCACTATCGATATTTCAAGTAACAGGCAAATGCAAGCTAAACGAGCAATCCTATACATATTTAGGCAGAAATAAGTCCTTCAGTTTCCCGCATTCTCCAACCAGCATAGTGAATGCTGTGAGCTGTAAGATTTTTCTGTGTTCAACATCCATAGGATTGGGCATTACATTGGCCTCTTAAGCACCCTTACCGCTCAAATCAACCCTTCAATTACACGCGCATTAAACGTTGCTCCGTTTACCTGCATACACACACGTTGCACTTTTGAATGTTTTGAAGCTCGACAACACAAGACTAAACAAAGGGAAGGGTGAGTGAAAAGGATATGAACTCCTGTTGCCTAAGTTTAGCTTCGGTGAAATCTAGGGCGACTCCAAAAAAAATCCCTCTTCCGCCGTTGGGAAAGCTTAAGGGAAGTTTGCTGATTCTACTAACTAGAGAAGACTGTGCAAGCAGAGGGCAAAGCCAAGCACTGCACCAGACATGACCAATCAATTCGCACTCGCGCCTTATACATAGATCGTATCTCACATGAAAAGGAAGAAATCGAGGAATTTCCCAAATAATCCTGCGGTGGACATTATTTTCGAGTAATTGACTTGTTCTCAAATGCTATGCATGTTTAAACAGAAAAAAAGATCCCTATATGAGCAATACTAGATGGATGGGCAATACTGGGAGTTGCAGAACGTTATTCTGTCTATACATAGAGCAGAGTCCTTTATAACTTTTGAAAGTAAATACAGACGCCAAGCACCCTTTAGTTCTAGCAGATTCATGACTGTCCAGACGTGCGTCGTCCCCCTCCGTTTCTTTCGTGTAATGAGCGAAAGATGCTGCAGGACCTGCTCGGAACGTTCACTTTCCTTCCCTCCCACGCTTCCTAGCTCGGCTTGAACTTCCCGGAAATGACGAACCAAGCGAAGGGCAAGCGTGTGTATTTTGAGCCCTGTGGGCCATGCGTGTGTATTTTGAGCCCTATCCGCTCGCCGTTGGATGCTTCTCCGGTTTCTTGGTTCGCGAGCGCGCACGTGCCTCCCGCGGCCGTTGCGGAGAGCCGATGCAGTTGTGGTTTCTCGGCGGTTGGTGAGTGGCGCCAGGGGACTGTGGCGGGGAGGGCTTGCTCGGAATACCGTCCCGGTGTCGGGGCAGCGTCGCGAGCCGAGCAGAGGAGGCGGGAAAGGTGAAACGTCGCTTGTTTGGTTAAACCGCGGCTTCCGGAACGACTTAGAGTCAATTAACGTGCGACAGATCATGCTCTCCGGCTTGCTATCTAAAAGGCCCTCAGGGCACACACAAGGAAAAAGTGATTGGGAGGGCAGAGGAAAGCATGAAGTCCTTTAGCAGGGCTGGTGGAGGGGCCTAGCGTCCCCTTTCATCTCCTCCCGTGTAACAGAATATTGTGGCTGCTGGCGGTGAGGGGAAATTCGTTTTCTATAGACAAGGTCTTCAGCAGGACCTGGTAGAATAGATGGTAAAGTTGCATTGTGATGACTGGGATTGGCACAAACACTTGTTTTCCATGTCTGGGCCTTGTTTTTTGTAACATGTACATGAATGAAAGGATTTATATTATATAAGTAAGTATGTTCATGTTATACAGTGGTACCTCGGCTCACTGCAATCCGTTAATCCGTTCCAGGACTCTGGTTGTGATCCGAATTGGTTGCGAGCCAAGTCAAATTTCCCCATAAGGTTCAATGTAAATAAGGTTAATTTGTTCTGTAAATATTTTTTTAATAAAAAAATTGAAACAAAGTAACAGAACAACAAAGTACAGTAGAGCAGACAATACTAACCTAGGTGGAGGGAGGTTATTGTTTGGAGGGAGAGTCCAAATGATAATTGTGTGATAGCAATCATGGTTGGGGAGAGGGGATGGCTGCAGTCATGCTTGTGCAGAGAAGGCAGGGGCAATCATAATCATGCTTGGAGGGGGGAAGACGGGCGCGATGGCAATCATGCTCGTGTTGCAACAGGCCCCCGAGCATGGTTGTCACCCAGTGCAGAGTTTGCAAGCTGAGGCAAAATTTTTCTGAAATTTCTGTTCGCGACCTGATTTGCTTGTGAACTGAAGCATTCGTGAGCCGAGATACCACTGTATAACTTGCTGCTCAAAATGAAGAATAACCTTAAAAACACTTCATTAGTTCATTCATTATTTTGCAACTCCATTAGGGTCAGCTGAACAAATTGTCTGATATATTTATATCCTATATAAAGGGAAAACTGAAAGGTTTAAAAAAAGCTACAGCAGAATGATAAAACAATTTAAAGGAAAAAATAGAACATCTAAAATGTGACCATATCAGCAGGGCTGGAACTAAGAGGCTATAAGACAAAATGCTTTTAAAATACTTGGACAAATAGTAAGGTCTTTACCTGGTGTTGTAAAGGACAGGAAATTTTGGAGGACCTTAATATTAAGGGTTGCCATAATTTGGAGATGACTTTAGCATGTAACAATAATTTAAAAAGATATAAAGATAGGTGCCAGGTGCATTTGTTTGGTGAAGAGCATTCCAAATGCACCCATGCACCACTGCACAAATATTCCTGTCTACTATCTTTCGTCATTGCATCTCATTTTGGAAGGTTGGGTGGTCCAGAGAAATGGTTTTCATCTTAAAAGTGCTACCTTAATATTTGGGAGAAATCATCTTGTCCTTCATGTTCCTGAATGCCAAGCAATTTAGGTATTAAACATTTGAGAACAGGACCTTGAAGTGTGCTCAGAAATGGATCATGAGATAACATATTAACCTCATAATGCTGGTTGGTGGCTGTGACACCTGATAAGATAATTGTACAGACAAGGTAGATTGCTTCTTTGTGGTCAGTATTCTACAGCAGCTTCTTGCAGTAGGTCGCTATTTATACTGGGGAAAGGAACTAGCAGTTGTGATCTTGAGCCTTACCTTGCTTGCTTTATTCATGTATTTATAATGTGTATATAACACTTCATATGTAAATAGATTTCAGAGAGGTGAATAATAAAAAGATAAAACAGATAAAGAATAAAATGGTATGCTTAAAAGGGGATATGAATACATTCAATTTCCATGGCTGCTCAGTGAAGAAAGTTTCCTGAAATAAGATATTTTTAGGAGGTGCCAGAAACAATACAATGTTCTCATCTGCCTGACCTTAACAGGCATGGAATTACACAGAAATGGAAACTGTTCCACTGGAACTGTTCTAGGAAGAAATGGAACTTCTCCAGGTGGGCTCCTATCATGCCATAGGTTCACGTGGAACCACCTGGATCATCCATTTGATGTCATGAGTGACCAGGCAGGTTGATAAGGTAGAAAACACTCTCAAGTATCCTGATCCCAAGATGTTTAGAGCTTTGTACAATAGTACTAGAACCTTAAACCCGGCCCAGCAGGGAATAGGCAGCTGGTGCAGATCTCTTAGCAAAGGTGTCATGCTTGAAGAAGGGGCAGCTCCAGACAACAGTGGAGCTGCTGCATTCTGTCCTAGCTCCTACATCTGCACCAGCCTTAATGACAGTCTGTCATAGAGCACATTGCAGTAATCTGGGCTTCCAGCCTTACCTGAGTCATGGGGTGATAGAACTGTATGCTGAACTGTCACTTTTGAGCATATTGATGATACTTGGTCGAAATTCCCGAATGATCACTCCCAGTAGCGTTTTATAGATGTTAACACTGGAAACAAGGTGCAACTCTGCAGAATCTTACAGCTGGCCAGACTGGCTTTTTACAGGGGCACATATAAAAAAATCTTAACTTTCTTGGGTTAATTGTATGATGCTTATGTATTCATGAGAATTTTGTTAATAGAAATAAAAGTAGCACTGCTTTTTGTATTGTATACCAGCATAGCCCCATTAAACTGTTGCAAATCACATAGCATAGAAACTTCTTAGTATTTTTTAGGATGGGGCATGCCAGGAGTTGTAGGACTTTATTCTGCTTAAACATGCATAGAATTGCACCCTTCATTACTCATCTGTACAGTTAAACTTGTTTTGCTCTTTAAGTATATGCTTTGTCTATTTCAGCTTGCTCTGTTTATTATAGTTGTTTTAAAATAAAAAAATTAAAAATGTATGCTTGCATGAGAAATGATTATTCCATACTGATAATGACAATTGTGTGTATTCTGTTTAAGCTAACATGGACAAATAGATTAGCATGTATATGTGATATAAGTGTGTTTTCTTAGACCCCTCACAGATTTTACACCTTACAAATTAGTGTAAAATAAGAATTCAAGAACTGCTAGAGACTTTAGGACAAGCAGTAGGCAAGTGACTCCTGGGATAGACATAGGATATGGGCTTTCATCTTGATCATGAGCTTCATCAGCAAGACTTTAATCCCCTCTCTCCGGAGGGAAGAATTGGGATTGTGCTAGCAGCTGTCAGTGGCCAGAAAAGAATGATCCCCCTCACCAACTTATTCCTAATTATATTGTATCTTTGCATGAATTTTAATTGCAAACTGCTGTGCAACTAATACTCCCTGAAAAAAGAGATGTAAATATAATATATTTTGTAAGCTACCATGGGAGCCTATTTGGCTAACAGTGGGGGTATATATGGTATAAGTCAGAAGTAGGTAACTTGTGGCTCTCCAGATGTTTTGGCCTACAACTTGCAACTCAGTGGGATGGTGTAAACTGGTGAGATGCAACAGCAGGGGGTTGGACCTAATGGCCTTCTTGGCCCCTTCTAACTCTACTATTCTGTGGTTCTATGATTCTGTCAGCCAAAGCCAGGAAAACATGAGGAATGATGCATGTTATCGGCTACATACTTGGAGAGTCATGAGTTCCCCATCCCTTCTATAAGTAACTGAATATATAACAATTTGTTGGCCTAATTCATTGTTTTGCTTCATGTTGATTCATCACTCTAAAGAAAATATTTTTTCTTGATAATGTTATCTCTTTTAAGTAACAGGAATACTGCAGATATCTGAATTAAAAGTCTCTTCTGGCTCTTTTTTGTTTCAGATCTTCCACACATTTTGAAAATGTCATATATGCTTCCACATTTACACAATGGCTGGCAAGTGGACCAGGCCATTCTTTCGGAAGAAGATCGAGTAGTGGTCATTCGCTTTGGGCATGATTGGGATCCAACGTGTATGAAGATGGATGAAGTTTTATATAGTATTGCTGAAAAAGTATAATGTTTTATTTGTATTAATTAATAAGCTGTTCTAATACTATTTGAATAACACATTTTGAATCCAAATTAATAAGCTTACTGCAGAATGTAAGCTTAAGACAAAGTAGATATTTGCTTTTATACAAATTTTCTTGGAAGATGTTCAAAAACATTTGGGACTTAGGGCATTCCTCTTTAAAATACTAATTTCAGTGATGCTTGTTGTGGCTATTATACATACATCATATAAAATAATTAATCTATTACAGTAGGATCACTGTATCTGCTGTCTCACTGCAGTCCTCCACATTTGTGGGGGTTAGGCTGCAGGACTTCTGCAAAAGTAGAAAAACTGTGAATATCTCTAGAGTAAAAAAGCAAATATTTCTAGGAAAAAACCATGAATATATCTAGCAAAAATAATTCTAGAATATCTCTAGAGTCTTTGTGTCGACTGAGAGAAGAAAACATGTGAGTGAGGCTGGCTTGTACTGAGACAAATAGTGTGGCATTCCCAAAGAGAGTCCCTTGAGATAATTTGTGCTTTTTCCACTTTTGTGAGGGTCCTGTACCCCTAATGCCCATGAATTTGGCAGGCAAACTGCGCAGCATATAGTGGTTGCTGTCATCCATGGTTTCAGGCATCCACCGGGGGGGGGGGGGGCTTGGAACCTGTCCCCTGCTGATACAGGGGTCCTACTATATTTTTTGTAATATAAAGCAACATAGGATAGTTCCAAGGTTAGGAGAACAACATTGGAGAGGACCTAATGGAGCAGCCAGGACACAATGGGTCCTGATGGTGTTTCAGCCTCTGTCCCTCACTTTCGGAAGCACTATTGCTTGACTACCCAAAACAGCTATCTGGCGAAAATGCAAAGCAGGAGAGGTAGGGAGGTTGGTTGATTTCATCACTCTTCCTCTTCTAATTTAGATTCTCATACTCCTCAGAGTTCAGAGCTTTATGAAATTGTGCCCTTACAGGCTAAGAGTGCAATTCTGTGGCTGCTAGACAGGGTCATGATGGTCATAGGATAATTTGGAGTTCTAGCTCTGACCTTGGAAGCTTGCTGGAGTTCTAGCTCTGACCTTGGAAGCTTGCTGGGACTCTGAATGTGCAGAAAGCACTGTGCCGGATGCAGCTGTGAGGTCACAAGACTGACTTTGGAAATGGGTTTTTGTGGGTGTGGAAGGGGACAGGGAGAGGAGGAGATGGACTTTGCTAGTATATGCAATATCCTGGCAGTACTTCAGTGTTCTGAGGCCAAATACTTAGAAGGCTGAAATTGACTGCCTCAGTTTTTTGCATGGTGGGAAGACCATGGAGATGACTTTTACCTCCACGTTCTTCCCATCATGCAAAGGGTGCCCACAGGGGTATGGGCTTATTGGATTGTGTTATAAAATATACATTAATCTGGTGAAAATATTAAAATAGGAAATGGAAAATCTTGTATTTATGGAATTAATGCGTTCGGTATAGTAATAGCCACTAGCTTGGATTCTTTTTAAAAGGGAATTGAACCGATTAATGGACAATGGATCAATGGTTATTAGTTTGGATATCATTTGCTGGGGAGAAATGGCACTGGAAGTACAATGTTACCTTGATGCTTTGGTTATAGTTTTCAAAGCATAAAGCGTGAAAAGTAGCCTTTGGCCTAATACACCAGTGCATGTGGACTACAGTCAACAAAAATGTCCGAAGGTACTCTTCTCTGGGACTGCTTAGATACAGCACAGATGGCTTGGTGTTAAGAGAATGAGCAGGCATAGTTCTTGGGCTTGCCTGCATGCTTCTTCTTGATATGACAACATGAGAAACTCTTCAACATAGTTTGAAATGTGCAAACTATGGTTTATGCAAATCTTCATTTTTCTGCAAACCAGACATACAAACCATGGTTGAAATTTGGCCATGGTTGAAGTTTCGTTATTTTCACCCACAAGGAGAGGTGGACATCTCTGGATAATGAAAAAAATCCTTTATTTGAGGTTTCCAAAATGTTCTATGGAATGTATTTGTTTAAATTTCCATAGAAATCTCCATAGAAAATGCTCTTCAAGGATTTTTTCATTTTGACCACGGGAGAAGGAAATGGCAACCCACTCCAGTATCTTTGCCATGAAACCCCATGGACAGTATCAAAAGGCAAAAAGATATGACGCCGGAAGATGAGCCCCTCAGGTCGGAAGGTGTCCAATATGCTACTGGGGAAGAGCAGAGGGCTAGTACTAGTAGCGCCAGAAAGAATGAAGCGACTGGGTCAAAGCCGAAAGGACACTCAGTTGCTGATGTATCTGGTGGTGAAAGGAGAGTCTGATGCTGCAAATATCTATACTCCATAGGAACCTGGAATGTAAGATTCATGAATCAAGGCAAGCTGGATGTGGTCAAACAAGGGATAACAAGACCGAACATCGACATCTTAGGAATCAGTGAACTAAAATGGACAGGAATGGGGGAATTTAATTCAGATGACCATCAGGTATACTACTGTGGGCAAGAATCCCTCAGAAGAAATGGAGTAGCTTTCATAATCAATAAAAGAGCAGGAAAAGCAGTACTGGGATACAATCTCCAAAATGACAGAATGATCTCAGTTCAAATTCAAGGCAAACCATTCAGCATCACAATAGTCCAAGTCTATGCCCCAACCACTGGTGCTGAAGAGGCTGAAGTTGACAGGTTCTATGAAGGCCTACAACACCTAGAATTTACACCAAAAAATGATGTCCTTATAATCATGGGGGATTGGAATGCTAAAGTAGGAAGCCATTGCCTTCTTAAATGAACAGTGCAAAGAAATAGAAGAAAACAATAGAATAGGGAGGACCAGAGATCTCTTCAAGAAAATTGGAGATATGAAGGGAACTTTTCATGCAAAGATGGGCATGATAAAGGACCAAAATGGCAGGGACCTAACAGAGGCAGAAGAGATTAAGAAGAGGTGGCAAGATTACACAGAAGAACTATACAAGAAAGAGCTTAACATCCCTGATAACCATGATGAGGTGGTCACTGACCTCGAGCCAGACATCCTGGAATGTGAAGTCAAATGGGCCTTAGGAAGTCTGAGCAACAAAGCTAGTGGAGGTGACAGTATTCCAGCTGAGCTATTCAAAATCCTAAAAGACGATGCAGTAAAAGTGCTACACTCAATATGCCAGCAAATTTGGAAAACTCAACAGTGGCCACAGGATTGGAAAAGGTCAGTTTACATTCCCATCCCAAAGAAGGGCAATGCCAAAGAATGTTCAAACTACCGCATATTTCACATGCTAGCAAAGTGATGCTCAAAATCCTACAAGCTAGGCTCCAGCAGTATGTGGACCGAGAACTACCAGAAGTACAGGCAGGATTTCGAAGAGGGAGAGGAACTAGAGATCAAATTGCCAACATACGCTGGATCATGGAAAAAGCTAGGGAGTTCCAGAAAAACATCTGGAACTTCTGCTTCATTGACTATGCTAAAGCCTTTGATTGTGTGGATCACAACGAATTGTGGCAAGTTCTTAAAGAGATGGGAGTACCAGACCATCTTATTTGTCTCTTGAAAAACCTATATGCGGGTCAAGAAGCAACAGTGAGAACTGGATACGGAACCACTGATTGGTTCAAAATTGAAAAAGGAGTTCGGCAAGGCTGTATACTGTCGTCCTGTCTATTTAACTTATATGCAGAGCACATCATGAGAAAGACGGAGCTAGATGAATCACCAGTTGGAATTAAGATTGCTGGGAGAAATACCAACAAGCTCAGATATGCAGATGATACCACTCTCATGGCAGAAAGTGAAGAGGAACTAAAGAGCCTCTTGATGTGGGTGAAGCAGGAGAGCGCAAAAGTTGGCTTGAAACTCAACATCAAGAAAACTAAAGTAATGGCATCCGGTCCTCTTACTTCCTGGCAAATAGATGGGGAAGAAATGGAGGTAGTGACAGATTTTATTTTCCTGGGCTCCAAGATCACTGCAGATGGGGACTGCAGCCAAGAAATTAAAAGATGCTTGCTCCTGGGGAGGAAAGCTATGGCAAATCTAGACAGCATACTAAAAAGCAGAGACATCACCGTGCCAACAAAAGTGCATATAGTCAAGGCTATGGTTTTCCCAGCTGCAATGTATGGCTGTGAAAGCTGGACCATAAGGAAGGCTGAGTGCCGAAGGATTGAGGCCTTTGAATTGTGGTGCTGGAGGAAACTCCTGCGAGTCCCTTGGACTGCAAGGCAATCAAACTGGTCAGTCCTAGAGGAGATCAACCCTGACTGCTCTTTAGAAGGCCAGATCCTGAAGATGAAGCTCAAATACTTTGACCACCTAATGAGAAGGAAGGACTCCCTGGAGAAGAGCCTAATGCTGGGAACAATAGATGGCAAAAGAAGAAGGGGACAGCAGAGGATGAGGTGGCTAGATGGAATCACTGAGGCAGTTGGTGTGAGCTTAGGTGGACTCCGGGAGATGGTGGAGGACAGGAAGGCCTGGAGGAATGTTGTCCATGGGGTCGCGATGGATCGGACACGACTTCGCGACTAACAACAACAACAAGAACAAAGATTCCTTTGTGTGTTTATATCATGTTATAAGAAGGAATGAACTTCTTACTAGAATATTGGCTTTCTTAAACTTGTATCTTTTATTTTTTGCTGCAATGACTGAAATTTTGTAAGCAGTATGAGAATAGAATGAGATGGAACAAGGCAAATTCTTGTATGTCTACCACACCATGCTGCCATTTCTTTGGCAGCGTTTAGTTTGATGACTTTAAAAAATGCTTCTTGTGGGGAGGAGTGTGTGAACCTTTCTTAATTATATAGACTTGTGGTTTTCCTATCAACTTCACTGCTGTCTCCTACAGTATCCCTGTTTTGTTGAAGACAACTTTGGAGAATGATCTAGTAGGTACCTTACAAAGAAGCTTGGATGAACCTACGGTCTCGTTGTTGCTCCATGTTGCTTGTAATTGCATCCTTGAATGCACTTTTGTTTTTTGAATGGGACCTCACATGCATGAATAGTATCTCCATGAAGGGGTGGCATAATTTTAAAGCAACTAATACATTAATGGTAGTGCAATAGTTTAATCTGAAAAGTTTAGAATTAAATCTAAATCTGGCATATGTATCAAATTAGATTTACTTGTTAGATTTTACTTGCAAGCTTCAAGTAAGTTTTGTAAATGCTACATTCATTTAAAAGGAGTATACCCCATCTCAACTATAAAACAGCTCGTGATACAATTGAAACTAACAATTTATAAAGTAATTAAAAATCACATGTCAAGTCAAGAATGGAAGTAAAAATAAATTTAGAACAAGTGTAAGCAAATTAAAGAAGACAATGTTGGTCTGATTTAAAGATGTAGTGCAGATACAGCTAAATGTATGTTAACTGATTTGTCTCTCAGTATTTGCTATCAATTATTATTTTATTTAAATATGTATCTTGGCCCTCTGAAAGAGTAGAAGCCCTGCTATGATGACATACAACAGTAAAACACAAAGTTGTTGTGGCTTATTTCCAGGAGATTATACTAACCAGAACTTGGGTGTTTGTGTGTGAGTGTGTGACTGAATTATGGTTGGATCCAGAGTACTGTGAGAAAACTCACTCATAAAACAAGGCAGACTTAGAAGTCAGCACCCAAGCAGCATCTTGAAAACTGGCTCTAGAGAGTTAAGGGAATCGTTCAGAAGTGTGAAAATGGTTTGGTGGGATCTGCATGGAGAAGGAATAGCAAAAATGGTGTCTCTTTCCCCATTTCTTACCCCTAGCTCAACTCTAAATGTTCTGCCAGATACAAGTCCTTATGTGACTGGAGGGATTCACCTCCATCAAAGGAAAGGCACTTTTGGTTTCAAGCTGATGCAAGCATTATATACTTATGATGCAAAAGTATATAAAATCTTTTACAATTCCATGTTTAAATAAATATTAAAACTCAAACATATGCTTAACATATGAAGACCACATTAAGGTGATCAAACTGTTTGTAGTATTGCATCCATTTTGACTTATAAAAAGCAAGTGGACCGCATTAACTTCAATAGTAATACCTTATGTTTATGTACCAACATTTGAGATAAAATAGATATTTACTAGGTAGATAAAATGGGTATTTAAATGACACCCTGATATTTTAAAGGACAACATAGTTAAAACATGACTTTGTTTTGATATGTGGGGTGAGGGGGAAAAACTGGTATAAATACATCACTGCCAAATAAAGAGGACATACTATTATTTGGAGTACTGTTGTAATTAGTTGTAGTTGGAATTCTTGTAACCTGGCAGGCATATTGGCACTTAATTTAAAATTGGGTGAAAAGATTGATATAACTTCATGTTTAAAAATCTCCCTCTGCAGAAATAGCAGATTAAAGAGGGTGACCCTTCTTCATCCTCTTGCTTAAGAGTCCTGTTGGGATATCGCTGCTGTACAAAGAGTGAGTAAACAGTTTCAGTATCTATGGTATGCATATCCTACGGTAGAACATCACACAGACCCATTGTCGTGGTGCATTTGCATTCTGCATTAGGAGAAAATCCCACTGACTATGTCAGATGCTAGTATACATTCTGCCCCCCCCCCCCCCCTTTTGGCATAGAAATTCTAGTAGGAGCAGATCCTTTCTTCATTGTTGTGTTCCTTCCCTGATTCAGTATGTATGATTTCCAGTGTATTTTGTTGTGGGTGGAAAAGTTCTGGTCAGGAGTGAATTCCTGCCAGGTAAAGTGAGAAAGTTTCACAAACATAGGCTACTAAAGGTGGAGAGGGGTTGTTGGTTGGTTTGTTCGTTTGTTGACTTGTCCGTTTCTGCTCTGATATTTCATTTTTAGGAAATAGATTTTGGTCTACTGTAAGTTAAGCATCTTCTCTAAATGCTAAAATAATTAGCCCATTCATTGCTAAATCTTTGGTGTTCAAAAGAGAAAATTGGCTCTGTAAAATAATATTTTTTGTTCCTTGTTCTTCAATGATGTATATCAATAGAGTTTACATAGCAGAAGACATAGCATATAGAAGCAGCTGCTTCTATATAGGAATGCATGTTTTCATCATCCTCAAGACTAGTATGTGGATAATTCCTATTTTAAGGATCATGGATGTTAAATTTATAGTATTTGAATTGGGTTTAGTGGAGTTCTGCTGGTGCTGATAGAAGTGTGGGGAGACAGTGATTCTGCTGAAGGCTCCTAAAAAGTTGCCTTACAGGGTTGGGGGATCCTTTGGAACTGCACAGCAAATAGTGTGGAAGTTGCAGGGGGGAGCTGGAGTTGGCAAAAATTGGCTACCTGTCCCATCCTCCAGCAGGAAACTTGTGCTGGATTCTGTTTTCCTCTGTAGTTGGATCTAGCCATCTGTATTTCCTAGCATATGTTGCATTGTATGTAAAATAAGTGAATATGATTTTTAAAGATTTAGGAGCATTTTAGTGTGTCGTATGTTTTGACAGTTACTTCTTGAGAGCACTTGGCAAAGTTAATAAAGTTACAAAAGAGGTACAAAGTGTTGATTGTGTCAGCAAGAGTAGATGCAGGCTTTAAGTTAATAAAGAATACATGGGCTCCAAGGGCAGAGGGAGGGTGCTCCAAATTTGTACCCCCACCCCAACCTTAGAATGCTTTTCTAAGGTTGAAGTTGGGGCTCTGTACTTTCCTGTGGCTGTCTGGACAGTGCCTAACATTCCTCAGATTGTGCCCTCAAGTACTTGTGTGCCCAAGCATTTTCCTCTTCTTTCCCTCCTTCCAACCCTCACGTAAAATTTGTCTGAAGTATTTAGCTCATCAGTCATTACAAAGCAAATATCTTAAATAGGAATATGCCCCCGTTACAGTAATTACTACCAGTGTATGATAATAGCCTATTGTGTGGGTGTTCCTATGCCTTAATGAAGAACATTGCCAGATCAGCAGAGCAAATCAGCATCTCTAGTAAATATAGTGTGGCAGAGTGTCCAGGGAATTGTGGCGCAGTGGTTTAAACTGCAATGCTGGTTGATCGAAAGGTCGCTGGTTCGAATCTGCACAACGGGGTGAGTTCCTGTTGTTCCATCCCAGCTCCTGCCAACCATGCAGTTCGAAAGCATGCAAATTTAAGTAGGTAAAAAGGTACCACTTTGGTGGGAAGGTAACAGCGTTCCGTGCACTTCGGTGTTTAGTTATGCCGGCCACATGACCACAGTTACTTTCTCCAGACAAGTGCTGGCTCCCTCGGCTAAGGAACAGAGATGAGCACCGCCCGCTCGAGTCAGACATGACTGGACTTAATGTCAAAGGGAAACCTTTACCTTTACCTTTTAACTGGATACACTTGCTTCCTTTTGAGGCTTTAAAAATGTTCAGAATTCTTATGTCAGCAATTATTAATAGTGATATGTTCATCAGTTTACAGTTACTAAAGAAATGCATCTTTGTAGTTTGTAGGCTTTACCAAGGGGAGGTGCATGTATTGATGTGAGAAGGAAGCATAACCTAATCTGTAACATCTTGGGAGTTCCTAAGGAGGCTTATAGAAGAATGATAGCCGAAGCACTCGCTAGGAATGTTTTTATTTTCCTTGTTGATCTTAAGTAATCATAACAAATAATTTTTCAAACAACATGGTGTGAATGCTCTTTTGATATTAAAAATTGATGGGGGAGCGAGGTAATTTTTATGTGTTCTTTAGGGACTCACAGGATTATGTATATCCAGCAGGTGGAAGGAATGTGGCAGCTAGGATTGCCTCCATGTTTTCCCTTGCACTCTAAAACAACTAAAAACACAATCATATGCAAGCTTAGGCAGAAAAATGGTGTGCAGTTCCCAGCATGTCCCTGTCATCATAGCTGGGAGTTCTTAGACTTTTTCTGTCTAAACTTGCATAGGGTTGTATCTAAATGTTTTAGACTTGTGAGGGGGAGGGGCCAAGACATCACCAGGATTCCTCATATTCTGGTGGAACCCCCCCCCCCATGCCTTACTAATGTATGGCTGTGTTGCTGCACAGCTGGCACCATTAGAACCACACAGGCTGCAAGAGTAGAAGGAGGGTGCTCAGAATGTGGATGTCCAGTCCTGCATTCGAAATGCTTTTCCGAGGTTGGAGCTAAGGCTCCAAACTTTCCTATGGCTGTCTAGACAGTACTGTAAAAGCAGTTTTGCTTATGAGTATAGTCTGCTTTAAATATACTTTTCCCTTCCATAGGTGAAAAATTTTGCAGTTATTTATCTGGTGGATATCACAGAAGTTCCAGACTTCAACAAGATGTATGAATTATACGATCCCTGTACTGTCATGTTCTTCTTCAGGTATATTGCACTCCAATGTGGTATAATCTGTATGTTCTCAGCTGATAGTGTTTTTCCTTTTTCTGTACTTCCTGCTTGGTTCTCTGATTGGTTTCCTGTGCAGTCTTTTAAACTAAGAGTAACCATATTGGAATAGCATTGCAGTCGTTTTGTTTTGCTCACTTAGAAGCCTGTAGGAACCTGCTGCTACACGATCTGATTGTGATTATCATAAAGGCCTAAATTTGGAGGCTTACAATTATCTCATGAAGGGCAGGAATAGCAGAGATGATAATCACTTCTCTGTCCTATCTGTCCTGCATTTTTTGCTAGATAGGCTTTATTGTCCATCTACCAACAGCATCTTCAGGAAGCTGGGGAGATCTCATATCTTGTGTCCTGGCCTTTACAGTCTTCAACCCACTGGAATGCCCTCTTTCTCTGTTTTCCAAGGTCATTTTCTCAACTTCAGAGGGCAACCTGCATGTTTCTTTCCATGCACACAGGGAGTGGTGGTCAGAGCAAATCTAGAGCACTGTCTCTGACCCCAGATCTACGGATTTGAATTACTGGTGCTTTAGAGCTCCAGAAAAAAATGCTGTCTACAAATTAATGCTGGCAATTTAAGAAAAAGGGAATGAAGACTAAAACTAGCAAATCATCAAGACTATAATCTGATCCTATTGAAATCAGCTACAAAACAATCGCTGGTCAAGTATGGCGAGTCGGACTTGGTACTTTGTTTTTGTGCCAAGGGCTGTCTTCCCAGACACTAAGCATTTACTTAAGTTCATAAATATAGATAGGGATAGTTAGGGAGAAGTATATTGCAGAATTTTCAGAGTTATATTAATATATTTTATATTGGTAAGTTTTTCCCATTTTTCTTTTCTTTTTTAAAGGAACAAACACATAATGATTGATTTGGGAACAGGTAACAACAACAAAATTAACTGGGCAATGGAAGACAAGCAAGAAATGATTGACATCATAGAAACAGTTTATAGAGGAGCACGTAAAGGTAGAGGTCTTGTTGTGTCACCCAAAGACTACTCAACTAAATATAGATATTGATACATACAAATTCACCTTCTTAAACTTCGTAAATTCAATCTTTGTATAAAGTATTTCTTGCTTACACCTCACTGTGTATGTCTTTTGAATTTAACGTGTTACCTCATTTTCTTGGGGAGATGCTAAAACCTATTTGATTTTAGAAATAGTTGTGTGTTACTTTTACATGTTTTAATTTCCAATGTTTTGCAGAAGACTATTTTTATACTATGATTCTGTTTTTGATAGACAAGTGGATATAGCTATTAGTTATGAAACATAATAAATGCATCTGAGAATATACCCTGTGCTTCAACATAATATTAATTTGGCTACACACATTCACACAGACAAGCATCTATCTCATATTTCCTACAAGTCTGGTTTTCACAGTGAAATTAATGCAATTATCTTGGGTCCAGCACCATACAAGTTTTTGTAAGCTGTGCTAAGATGGGTTTTTTTTCCGTATAGGATGGGATATAAATATTTTAAATACAGTAAATAATAATCCAAAGGTACCTGCCTGCTAGCTTCAGATGGTGGTGGGATTCTATGGTGAAGACTTTTAAGTGATGTACAGACTTGCAGATAGAGTAAAACAGGAATCATTTCTTCCCCATGGCAGGATCCTTGGATCCAAACTACTATTTATTAAAACCTGCCTTGGAAATTTACTTGTGCTAATGAAACTTGCAGTCTTTATTTCATTTGACACTGGTATCAACATGTCAAGAACTGAGGAGTAAATGTTAAATGTTCATATGCACTTATTTGCTGGTTTTATTAAATAATTCAGGAACATAAGCTGCCTTTATACAGAGCCACAATTTTGTATTGTTTACACTAGTTGGAAACATTTCTTCTTGGCTTCAATAGTTTTTTCCTTCTCTTGCTATACCTGAATTTGGAATCTTCCACATGAAAAGCATGTGCTATACAGTGGTACCTTGGTTCACTAACTTAATTCATTCCACAATTCAGGTCGCAACTCAAATTGGTCACGAACCAAGTCAAATTCCCCCATAAGGTTCAATGTAAATAAGGTTAATCCATTCTGTAAATATTTTTTTAATCACAAAAAATTGAAACAAAGTAACAAAGAACAACAGAGTACAGTACAGTAGAGAACACTAACCTGGGTGGGGGTGGGGGAGGTTACTGTTTGGAGGGAAAGTCCCCATCCCAAAGGATATCAGGGAGATCTCCTTCAAGGGTTTCCTTTCTTCTTTGTCTCTTAGCTGCAGGGTCAATTTTGGCGGAAAAATCTGCACAATCTGGTCATCTTCATTACCGCTCTGCACGTTGTTTTTACCACCAGGTTTGCTCTGCACTTTCTCTGGAGCCATTATTCAGTATTATTATTGAGTAATACTTTACAGTACTGTATGTGCTAAAAAGCACACAAAAAAGCTTCACAGCAGTGACCATAGGTCGGTCTGTGACCATGAGCAGGGAATATGGGTGCGATCGCGATCGTGCTCAGAAGATGATCGCGATCGTGTTCATGCGGGGAAGATGGCCGCAATCGTTGTCATCCGATGCAGAGTTTGTGAATGGAGGCAAAACTTTTCTGAAATTTTTGTTCATAAACCGATTTGGTCATGAAATGAGGCATTCGTGAACCGAGGTACCACTGTACCATTAAGCTCTAGCTTTTTTCTCTTTTTAAATTTCCAGAACTGTAGAGAAAGACTAGACAAGACTCCTTCTGGAAGTTAGTATTTCCTGTAGGTCTGCTCACCCTCTCTAAAGAAAGTTGGATGCAGATCAATTCTGGTTGATTTTGTAAGGTGTATTATACTCTTCTCCCCTTTTCCTTGATGCCGCATACCCAAGAGAGTAGCAGTGCACTTTAGTGTGTATTGCTAGCTACTCTTATCAGTGTGTTGCATCAAGGCACCCTTAAACTTTGCAGATCCTGAACCAGGGTTATGTTGGTTCAAGGATACTAAAGGAATGTGCAGTCCTTGAACCAGTGTGACCCTCCTTCAGTCTTTCTTGTAGGCTACTCTTGATAGAAGAGACCTGCAAAAAAAAGGAGGTTGCTGAACGGTTTATGGTGGAGAAGAAGACTAGCACAGTAGCAGAGCAATGGAATGGAAAACAAAGGTTTGTACTAGATTCCGTAATGGGCAGGATTGCAGCTTCTGCTATTTTTAATTTCAAGAAATAGCAGAACTACTAAGTATTTTTGGCTTTGGCCTTTTGGCAGAGCAACAGAGGCACAGGCTGGGAGAGAGTGCTGAGTGGCCAGGGGACTGGTGAAGGCAAGGTAGGAGCTCGGCAGAGAACAGAGGGCCAGGAGCAGCAGAGAGGAAGGGAGGCGGGGCCAGAGAGGCTAGAGGGGCCAGGAGGGAGCAGATGGGCGGGGCCACTGCTTTTGGCTCTGGCCTCTTGGCGTCATCCCTTGTCTGCGTCCCGGACTGCCCCGGGACTCCCTTCCCTGGGAGGCTGAGGGTTTTTGTTTGTTTGTTTTTAATTGCTTTGTTTTTCTTTGTTTCTGTTTTGTGCTGTTCTGTGCTTTGCTTTCCTTTGTTTTTCCTCCAATTTAAATTTTATTTTATCCTTGTGTGCATGGGTTTTTGTCTGGGAGACCTGGGCGAGTGAGGGGTACCGCAGGACAGACAAGGCGGGGGACCAAGGTAGGGTCTCAGAAGAGTTCCCAATGGCAGACCAGGAGATGGCCTTGGCAGGAGTCACAGGTGTTGCTGTCCACTGTGACAGCTGCGACATGTTTGCCCCTTTTCCCCCAGGAGAGGCAGGGTTACACTTGCCCTCGGTGTAAGCTGGTGGTCCTGCTAGAGGAGGAGGTGAGGTGCCTGAGGGCCAAGAGAGCTCTCCTGCCCCCCCCCGGGAGCACCCCCCCTTTGGACAGAGGGTTGAGGGAGAGGCCATGGGAGGAGCAGTCGCGGAGACATGGAGGCATGTCACCCACAGCACGGCCTCCTCCTCCTGGCACCAATCTGGAGCTGGGAAACAGGTTCTCTTTGCTTGGGGAGGCTGGGGCTGATGAGGCCTCGGGGACCAGCAGGACCCCCAGCCTGGGACCACAAGTGGCGAGGGAGCCGCTGCAGAAGAGGCGAGGGCCAGGGCATGGCCGCCAACACCACCGGAAAGACGTGGTGGTGGGTGATTGTTGTTGGGGACTCCCTGCTGAGGGGCACTGAGGCGGAGGTGTGCCACCCCAACCTGGAGACAAGGGAGGTTTGCTGCCTGCCTGGCGCATGCATCCGGCATGTGAAGGACAGAGTGGAGCATCTTGTTCGTTCCGGGGGTCACCAGCTGCTCCTGGTGATCCATGTGGGCACAAACGATGTGGCCAGGCAGGTGGTGGTCGGGATCATCAGGGACTTCGAGGCCTTGGAGAAGAAACCAGGAGCTGAAGGCCCAAGTGGCCTTCTCGTTGATCTTAATGGTCCGAGGATTTGGGCCAGGAAGGGACAGGAGGGTCTCCAAGGTGAACGACTGGCTAGGGTATGGTGCCAGAAGGAACGCTTCGGGTTCCTCGACCACGGCACTCAGTTTCCTGCCAGTGGACTTCTGCCAAGGGACGGGTTACACCTCACGAGGATGGGGAAAAGGTCCTTTGGAGATGCTCTAGCGAGTTTCATCCAGAAGACTTTAAACTGAACCGGTGGGGGGGGGGGGTGTTCAGGCTCTGGGAGCAGGGTTTTAGAGGTACTGCAGGGACTGACAGGACTCCTACAGAGAGGGGGCCAGGTATCAGGGAGGATGGGAGGAAGGAGGCTGGGAACTCCAAGGAAAGGAAGCGGTGGGAAGGAGTTGAGGTGCATGTACACCAATGCTAGGAGCATGGTAATAAGCAGGAAGAGCTTGAAGCTCTCCTGGGAATAGGAGGGTATGACCTAGTGGGAAACACAGAAACCTGGTGGGATGAAAGGCAAGTCTGGATTGTGAACATAGAGGGGTATCACCCTTTTAGAAAGGACAGGAAGGGAAAGAGGGGTGGGGGTGTGGCTTTATACGTCAGGGAAGGGATAGGATGCAGTGAGATAGAACGCAGCACAGATGGGGATTTGGTAGCAGTCTGGGTGAAACTTGGGGGTTTTGACAGGGAAAGAGACCTGACAGTGGGGTATGTTATCGCCCTCCAGGTCAACTTGAGACCCTGGATGATGGCCTGACAGACCAGATTCTAAGGATATCTTGGGGGAGAGAGACAGTAATTATGGGAGATTTCAGTCTCCTGGATATTAGTTGGGAGACTCACTTGGCAGTGACAGCCAGGTCACGTCGCTTCCTAGAAGCTATAGAGGGAGGGTTTGTCACACAGAGGGTCCGAGAGGCAACGGGGGGGGGGGGGACATCCTTGACTTGGTCTTGACCAATAGAGAGGCGCTGATAGATGAAGTACAGATTAGGGGAGCTCTGGATGTGAGTGATCACTTCATCCTTTGCTTTGAAATCTGGGGACTGGGGACGTGCAGCAGATCGAGCACTAGAAGCTGGGACTTCAAGAGGGCCAACTATGGCCAACTGAAGGCCAGACTAGGCAAAGTCTCCTGGGATAGGTTACTGGAAGGTAAGCGAGTTGGGGTGGATGGCACTCAAAAGGGAGGTTTTGGAGGCACAAGCCTTGACGATACCTCTAGTTAGTAAGGTGGAGAGGCGGAGGAGAGTGCCACCATGGATGCGAAAGGAGGTGGTTAGAGGGATTAGACGAAAGAGGAACCTCTGTAGGAAATGGGTACTGGAGCAAATAGACAAAAGGGTATACCAGGAGGAGGAGGCCCATTTCAGAAGGATTCTTCACAAGGCTAAGGCTGATTATGAGTTGAGACTTGCCAAGAATATCAAGAACAAAAAGGGCTTCTTTCAGTATGTAAATAGGAAGAGGAAAGGGAGACAAGTGGTAGGACCACTAAATAAGGAGGAAGGAGATCCAGTGACTGATATGAGGGAACAGGCACAGATGGTAAATGACTATTTTGCCTCTGTTCTCCCCAAAGCAGGACGGGGGATATCCGCATAGGAGATTAGATGAGGCTGGGGACTTAGGGGCACAGATTAGAGTCACCCCCCCTTGAAGTCGAGGGGCTCCTGAGGGCATTGGACATTACAAAGGTGCCAGGC